CTGACATTGGTCATATGTATTTCAGTTTCCAAAATAAGGTTTGCAGACGGATTTAAAATTAGATGTTTTTTTTTTTTTGTTTTGTTTTTTTTTAAGATTTATTTATTTATTTATGCAAGCACTGGGTACAGTCAGAAGCACGGGAGGGCGAGAGAATTCACCAGAGCCAGAGCGGGGAGCAGAGCAGGCAGAAGGGCTAAAGTACACTGCTGAGGGGAGCAGCGGGCGGCAGGAGAGGTCTGCGCGCCATGTGGGACCCTCCTCTGGTGGCCGGGGAGCAGCCCGGGGATCGAACCGGTGCTACAGAGGCTGCGGGCAGCTTCGCAAGCCAGCGCTCAACCGCTGCACCACCAGGGAGGCCCTAAAATTAGATGTTTTTAATGACTTTCTAAGCTAAAGGAAAATAAAAATCACATTTCTTAAAGAAGTAAATGAATGATAATTGGCAAACAATTCAGCAGAGTAGAAATGAGGGAGATTCAAAGACAGAGAGAGGAAAGAAAAATTAGCTTCTTTTTGAGGGGGGATAAACTTTGAGATGTACATAATGAATGATAACTATTCAAACTACTGAAAGAAATAGAATGATTTACATGAAGCACTTCTTACGGTGTTTATAGTACAGTAAGTCCAGTTGAGATTTGGGAAAAGTTCCAGATACAGCATTCCTAAGGAAAGACTTGTCCAACTGTCCAACGACCAGTATTTCTGAGGCAGCATCATTCACATAAAAACCAGATATGGTGTTTCATCTACTGCTTACTCATTTTGAATCAGATTCAGTATTCCTTGTTCTCATTTGAAGGTGGAGGAAGTTAGAGTTAATCTGTTCAAGGAAGAATTATGTAAAATACCTAGTAGGTATTTTACTAGTTATGTAAATTACCATATTAGGCCCCTTTGAGTTACTTCATTTTTACTATATATTTTTAAATAATCCATATTTCTTCCTAAAGTACTAGGAATATAATAAGGACAATGAACTGGAATAATTTAGTATGATTTGTGCATATAGAAATTTAGATGACAATGGTGCTATGCTCTGTAAGAGGACCTGATTTATAACTTGCCATTACTATTTCTTTGCCACGTAAAACAGAACGCAAAATACAGTCGCTGCTCCAAGACTTTTTGCTGAAGAAATGAAAAACAAAACCAAAGGTTTTGAAAGGATTTACTGACTGACGTCAAGCTGAGTGTTTCCCCCTGCTGTAGTGGTGATGGACATGCATAGGCCTGGACAAACTCTTCACCCTTAGTGGTAATGTTTCAAGGTGGCTCATTGGGTACTCTGTACAACCAGCTCTTGGTATTGTTAGTGGGCAGACTGAGGGTTGCGCTGGGGCCCCCAAACCTTACGTACTCTAAATGGGTTCTGCCATCGCTGCATATAGACAAAACATACTGTTAGTGCATAAGACCTTCACTAGAAAAGAACTTTAATAGAATTAGCGTGCAATAGAGAAAAGAGAAAGAATATAGTTTCCAATGTTACCCATCCCCTCGTGGGTAAATGCCCAGCCAAACAGTGTTGGCCCAAAGCAGGACCAATGAGACCCAAGAGCTTGCCGCCAGTCTAAGGTACCTTCTGGTAAGGAACCACAGAGGAGTGAGGCAAGTCTGGAATGAAAGGCGCAAATTAAAATACAAATTAAGGTAAGAGCTACCATTGTCAGAGAAGGTCACAGGTCTCTCACCCATGTCTCTTCCAAGTGTCTCCTTCCATGTTCCCTAAGTCCCTGGTGCAGGTCCAAGGCTGAGGAGCAAGCATGGCTGCTTTTTCACATGTCTCTCTGCTCCACGTTCCTCCTCCAGGTCTTCTCTTCCAAGACTTTCTAAGTCTTTTCCAGTTTCCCCTCCCCACTCAGTTCTGCCCTTCATTAGGTAGGGCAGAGAACCTGGTACCTCCCCTTTCGTGGAGAAAACTGTATAACAATTCTTTCCTGTAACAGTATAGGAAGATGGTCATCTAGCTGACAGAGATCAAACACATTACCTTTATTTATTAAGACACAACACTGAGTAGTTAAGCATAGCAACTTCTCCTTTCAGTTCTGACTGAATTGTCATGAGAGGTGGCCGGGAAGGGATTTTTCAAAGCTCCCATGTGATTCTTAATATGTAACCAAGGTTGAGCGCCACTGGCATTTATACGTCTTCCATACAGAGCTGACTTTGAGTTTAGTAATGCCTGCTACAAGTATGGCAGAAGATGACGTGAAAATTATTTCCTGGCATATTCAAGTGTTTGACTTTATATTTATCCTTATTAAATCTTACCCAGTTAGTTTAGCCTTCTGTCCTAGCCAATTAGAATTACTTTAAAAGTTAATATTACCGTGCAGGATATTTGTTTCCCCATCCCAGTTCCTGGCATATGCACATTTGATCACTATCCTCTTTAGTGTCCTCTTCCAAGTCATTTATGAAGAAATGTAGCAGAGGGATAGGCTGCTCCTACTTTTGACACTTTAGCTACACTCTTTAGGTATAGTTGTATAGTTATCCGTGACGCCACTAAAATCCATGTTTTTTCACCTTGAAGAATAACAAAATAAATGTTATTTTATATATTGCTGACATCCAGATATATTTATGTTTGCAGCACTCCTTGTCAAACCACATAAATAAAGGAAAATGAGTTAGTTTGGTTATGTCTTGCAGTGATTCCCAGGTACCCTGTCTAAATACTCATACTTATTTTAATAACCTGTTCTATAGTCTTGCTATGACTTCATGTCACATCACTGGTGTAAAGTGTGGAGATAAACTCTCTCCTCATTTTGAAAATTGTTATTACGACAAAAAGCAAAAAGGTAATGTGATGTTAGTCTTTATTAGAATCATGAGAGTCATCTGAGTTTACAAAGTGTTACTCATGGATCTCATCTGCAGATTCTTTAATTCTCCTAGTGGGTAAATTCATCCAGGATATTTTTATTTAGACATATAGGCACTTTTCAATAGTTTCCTTATTTATCTTGGTCAATAATCTGTTTGCCTCAGTATTTGCTCTCTCTTAAAATGATTTTTCTTTGCAGAAAAGAAAAAAGAAAGTTAGAAATTGAGCTGTTGTTCTGTCCCTTCTTTATGTTAATTAATGACATGCCATTCACATTAAAGAGTAGGTGTTGGCTTCCTTACTTTTTTTTCAAGTCTCAGCATATTCTGGGCTTCAGTGCAAGCTTGCCTCTTTATATATGTGGGTGCCACTTAAAAATAAAAGTAGTTTCTTTTATATACTTTCTGTGCATGTTCTTCTGATTCTGACTTGATTGGTGAGTCTTCCATCTAGTTCCTTTAGATACTTCTCTTCTTGACCCCTCTATTTCAGATAATGTGAGGTTGGCAGAATTTCATTCTGAGGAACTTCAATCCTGTCTTTCCTTTTAGCAGCTCAGACTATGTGCTTGGGTCCTGCCTGCATCACTGTTTGAACCTGCTGTGTAAGAGTCTAGGAACTACATCTAGCTGTGTTCCTCATTTTCCTGCCTATTTGGCTTTATTTTGAAGCTCCTGCCACTTCCTTTTTTCTGATCAATTTCTTTTTGGTCAAATTAGGTTCAGGATTATAATTCTACTCATTCTTCTGCCTTCTGGGTGATAGAATAATTAGCAAGGCAAAATATTTTTTATATATGCTACTTTTTAGTTGAATGACATTTTTCAGTTGATGTTTAGGTAACAGAAATCTCATTACTTTTTGTGACAGAGGGCTCTTAACCAAGAAGGTAAGCTAATTTTGCCACTGCTTTTTCCTCAGGGCATCTAATTGGTTTCATGTTAAAACTTGCAGGGACATCTGTCCTAGCTAGCTCTCCCCTCTGATCTTCTTTCCATCCTTCTCACAGATCCCAAGTAATGAATCCACTCTCTTCTCCTCTTTAAAGATATTTTAACCAGTTATTTATTGGACTTTAAAAAAAGATTTATTTATGCATACAAGAGCTGGGGTGTAGGCCAGTGGTATAGGGGGTAGAGGATTCACCAGAAACAGAGTGGGGAGCAGAACAGGTGGATCTACTGAAATACACTGCTGAGGGGAGTAGTGGGCAAGACAGGAGAGGTCTGCTATGCCATGTGGGTAGCTCCCTGGCCGGGGATCGAACTCATGTTGCAGTGGCTGTGGATAGCTTCATAGTGCTGAGACCTAACCCCTTGCACCACCAGGGAGGCCCTGGATATTTTCTCTTTTGACACTGATTCAGAGTACTGTTCTTGAGCTTTTATGCTGTAATTAGCATAGGGATGTTGGCATGTTTTGTTTCAGGTGTTTTATTTTCATCTTGGTGGGGTCTAAATGAGGGGTACAAATAGGGAAGTTATAAGTCCATGGTACCTCTTGTCCCCAGTTCGTTTCTAATTTCTTTAGATGCTATGGATACCTGTCTTCTATTTGCCTGTCTTACTCAAGCTCAAGTTCATTAGACCTCTCCCTTCCCTTTTCTAAGCTCTCTGTAGAAGAGAGCATTCAATAGCTGGTAGATAGGCTTGAGAGAGCTTAAGTCCTAGTTGTGAATTAATAGAGACCATTCAGAGGGCTGCTTTACCTCAAAAGGGTAATTTATACCTCAGGGGATCATGAAGCAGCTCTCCAGGAAAGATCACTCCTGATCTTTGCTTCTGTGCCTTTGTTACTTCCTCTCAATTGCTTTCTGCTATGCTGCCACTCATAGGTTTCCACTTAGTGGTACACATTTTTTAATTTTTTAATTTTATTTATTATTAATTTATTTATACAAGCACTGGGTACAGTCAGAAGCACGGGAGGGTGAGAGAATTCACCAGAGCCAGAGCGGGGAGCAGAGCAGGCAGAAGGATCGAAGTACACTGCTGAGGGGAGCAGCGGGCGGCAGGAGAGGTCTGCGCGCAATGCAGGACCCTCCTCCGGTGGCCGGGGAGCAGCTGGGGATCGAACCGGCGCCACAGAGGCTGTGGGCAGCTTCGCAACCCAGCGCTCAACTGCTGCGCCACCGGGGAGGCCCCACATTTTTTAATTTTTAAACATGGACTGCTTCATAGATTTGCACGTCACCCCTGCACAGGAGCCATGCTTATCTTTCATCATTCCAATTTTAGTATATGTGTTGCAGAAGCAAGCACCACATTTTAAACATAAACTCAGCTTATTTTTTTAGAAGGTAAGATTTCAACATCCTTATTTTGATCAGAGACACTTTGAGATGTCAGGAATTCCAAATGTTTAGGATATACTAGTGTTGAATATAATGGAGTCAGCCAAATGAAAATACAAATCATATTTACAGGCATTTATTAAGCACAGAAAAGAAGTTACTCTTTCAAATAGCTTGATTTTTTGGAGTGAATTAAAGACACGAAGTAATGAGAGACTATAATATGCTAAATTACACATTGATAAAAACGATTTAGTGCCCACTACGGTAGGGATTCCTAGTCTAAACTCAGTTTAGCTCAGAGAAGAAGCAGACTTGTATTTCTAAAATTGTTTCACAGTGAATTTGTTATTACTTCAGTGTAAGCGAGGGCTTAGAACTATTAACCACTGACCCTTAGCCTTTGCCATTAGCAACTGGAACCGAAATGCACTCATGCTCCCACACAGTATAAAAGAAATGCAGGGTAGCAACAACTCAAACATATTTGAGGTTTTAGATCTTAAAATCTTTGATAAGAAAATACAATTTTATGCATTTGGTTTGGCTGTACTGTTGTGAGTTAATTTTAGGAGTAACTTTCAGAATCAATTTTAGAATTTTAGCCTCAAATGACACTCCTTTGCTTCGTCTCGAGGAATTAGGTATAACGCCATATTATGCTTAAGACTAGGAGCTGTTGCTCTATATAACCTCACTAGGAAGTGACATTTGAGAAGAAGAAAAATATATCCAACCTTTGTAAAGGTTGTGCTGTTGCTATGTTGCAAAAATGCAGTTTGCCTTGATTCCTGGTATTCTTCACTAATCTTTCAAGGAAGCATCAGATGTGATGTATTTGAGGATGATATGGCACCAAAGAATAATGTCATGTTTCTCAGGTTTTGTGGTGTCTTTGCTTCATTTTCTATCCTGTTTGCTGTGGGAGTAGTGTAGTGTCCTGATTTTGAGAAATGAAAGAACTGGGACCCAGTACTTTTCTAGAAAACCCCATGCTTCTGCAGTTTTAAATAATCTCAAGTGAACAATAGTATATTTCACCTGAGAAATTAATATGGAGAGAAAGGATTCACCACTTTCTTCATCCAAACCACCCATATGAGCAGAGCACATGTGTTGTTCAGCCCTTTCAATTACCTTTTTAGTAACACAAATGCTGTATTTCATAACAGCCGGTTTGCATCTCGGCTGCCTGGATCCAACGAAGTGACACACAACCTCGCTATTTAGACATTAGCAGAAAGAGAAATCTCCCCCCCTCCCCTTTCTAGTTCAGCACTCATGACATTAAATTTTCATCACATCTATTTGGATTCTTAGGCCAATAATCAGAACATTTGCTCCTTGTTTTGTTTTCCAACAAGAATTTTTTTTAATTTTAATTTATTTTTTTGTGTGGAAGAACTGGGGTGTAGGCCAGAGGTACGGTGAGAATATTGACCAGAGACAGATTGGGGAGCAGAACAGGCAGATTTACTGAAATACACTGCTGAGGGGAACAGCAGGCAAGACAGGAGAGGTCTTCTATGCCAGCCATTGTGGGTTAGCTCCCTGGCCAGGTCGAACTCAGGCTGTGGCCATGATAGTGCTGAGACTTAACAACACTAGCAACCAGGGAGGCCCCAAATTTATATATATTTAAATGCACACATTTCAGCTGTACAATTATAACCATGAAATCCACACACCCAATAAAGTACTAGCTGTTTTTATCTCCTGAGAGAGTTCCCTTTCATACCTTTCAAATCAATCCTTGCCCTTCCAGGAAGCCTGTTGTTGGAATTCCTTTGTTTTACTGAGTAGTTTTGTGCATGCATCCTCTTAATCAAGAACATTAGATTCTTTTTACTTTTTGCTTTTATGCTATGAATATTCATGTACAAGTCTTTGGGTGGACTTATGTGTTCTTTTCTCTTGGCTAAATACCTATAAGAAGAATTTCTAGGTTGATGGGAAAAATGCATGTTTACTTTTCTAAGAACCTGCCAAACTTTTTCTAAAGTGGTTGTGTCATTTTACATTCCTACTGGCAAAGGATGAGAATGTCCTGGTTGCTCCTGATCCTTATCAACATTTAGGTTGTCATTCTCTTTAATTTTAGCTGGTCTAGTGTGCAGCTATACATATTCTATTAAAATACATTTTATTTTGAGACTTTTATGGCATGTCTTGAGATAATTGGAAATACCCTTTAATTTGGTGCATCTCTTTAAGATCCTTTTAACATTTGGTTTGGGATAAATACCGATCATGACTATAGGACTCTAAGGCCCAGGACAGTCTTTCCCACTGATGGCTAGAGTTTGGCTTTCCCTGGCTAGAGCTGAAGAGAAAAAGTTATTGGTAACCCTGTACATCCATTTGAATATCTTATGATTTCCCAAGTATTTTCTCATATAGCCACTCTTGACTGCAAATGGGGTTCCCATTGTTCCCATTCTTCATTATAAATGAAGACGCGAGAGGTTGCTTAAGGTTTTGGTGACCAAAATCTAGAACTTCTAACTTGGTCCACTACTTTCACAGAATGAGTAGCACAGTACTAGAATTCATTCATTATGTCTCTTTGGTTTGCAGGCTTAGATAAACTGATAAGGGTATATGAATCTTTTTCTCAGAGGAGGTAACTGATAGTGATCTCTTATTATCAGTTGTATTAACAGAATATAATCTGACCTTGAAATATATAGTCATTGATTTGTATTTTTTCATGTGGCTTTTAGAAATTCTTGACTCTAGTTCTTAAAATAAATCAGCTGATGTGGTTATGAAGATATTATAGTTGGTACCTTTCAGAGAAAAAATACATCACTGAGTGACCTAAATTAACATTTTAGAACTCTGCATATAATGCGCAAAGCCCTTTTAGGAACTCTGGTCTGATTCCAAAAAAACTTCTCTGTTTGAACATTTAGGTTTTTTTTGAGCAGTGAGTAACTGTCATTGCCTACATTGTTGTGGTCAAGGGGTTATCAGAGCAGGTAATCTGAACTAGAGTAATGTTTATAGTTTTCCAAAGCAGACCGAAGTTAAATACTTAAACAACAAATCTGCTCTTGCACTATTGTCAGATGTTAATGTGAAGTCATTTGTTTTATTTCAGTGATGTCCTCGCATTGCCCATTTTCAAGCAAGAAGAGTCAAGTTTGCCTCCTGATAATGAGAATAAAATCCTACCTTTTCAATATGTGCTTTGTGCTGCTACCTCGCCAGCAGTGAAATTACATGATGAAACCCTAACATATCTCAATCAAGGTTAGCTGCTTCCTTATTCATTAGTATTATTGCAAACATGTGGGTTCATGATCCTTTATTAGGTTCCCCAATATGTAAAACTGCATATTTCTTTTTTTTTTTTTAAAGATTTATTTATTTATTTATTTGTTTGTTTGTTTGTTTGTTTGTTTATTTATACAAGCACTGGGTAAAGTCAGAAGCGCAGGAAGGTAAGAGAATTCACCAGAACCAGAGCAGGGAACAGAACAGACAGTCCGACGAAATACACTGCTGGGGGGAGCAACAGGCGGCAGGAGAGGTCTGTGCACCATGTGGGACCCTCGCCAGCGGCTAGGGATCAAACTGGCGCTGCAGAGGCTGTGGGCAGCTTTGCAGTCCAGCGCTCAACCGCTGCACCACCAGGGGAGGCCCAAAACTGCATATTTCTAGTGTGCCTGTTAAAATTGAAACCTTACTTCAGAGATTTGAGTCTTAATATCACATTTGTTATATATTTTTTTAAAGATTTATTTATTTATGCATACAAGAGCTGGGGTACAGGCCAGAGATGCGGGGGATGAAAGGATTCACCAGAGACAGCGGGGAACAGAACAGACAGACTGACAGAAATACATTGCTGAGGGGAGCAGCAGGCGAGACAGGAGAGGTCTGCTGTGCCATGTGTGTTGCTCCCTGGCCGGCCGGGAATCAAACTCGTGCTTCAGAGGCTGTGGACTGCCCCATAGTGCGGCGCTCAATCCCTTGCGCCACCAAGGAGGCCCACATTTGATATATGTTACTTGCTTCCTTTGTCTACCTGTCCATTTTAGTTCCTCTTTCTTTCTAATCCACATCTCTTAGATACCTCCATTGGTTACTTTACTTATTTATTTATTTATTTATTAAGATTTATTTATTTATTTATGCAAGCACTGTGTACAGTCAGAAGCGTGGAAGGGTTGGAGAATTCACCAGAGGGTAGAGCGGAGCAGGCAGATTTACTGAAATACACTGCTGAGGGGAGCAGTGGGCGGCAGGAGAGGTCTGCTGCTCCATGTGGGACCCTCGCCAGTGGCCAGGGATTGAACCGGCGCTGTAGAGGCTGCGGGCAGCTTCGCAGCCCAGCGCTCAACCGCTGTGCCACCAGGGGAGGCCCCCACTATTGGTTACTATCTGAGAAGTATTACCTTATCCAGCTCTGTTATTTACCATTTGTGTGGATTTGAAAAAATTGTTTAAACTCTTATGTTTCAGTTTTCCTATCTATAAAAATGAGATTGTATAACTTTCAGGGAGTTGTATCAATTATATAATATAATGTATGAAAATGATTATTAGCATGGTACCTAGCATATAGTAAAGGATTACAGTTGCTGTTACTAATACTAATAATATTTTACCCTTGCATATTCTACCAAATGAATTTTATTCTTTTTGTATCTTGCAAAGTTAATTTGTGATGAATATAATATGTCATTATATTTTTCTTCTAGGACAGTCCTATGAAATTCGAATGCTAGATAATAGGAAGCTTGGAGAACTTCCAGAAATTAATGGCAAGTTAGTGAAGGTAAAGGAAAATGAGCACAGTATTCCTCTGCACAATATCCTTTCACTGACCCTTTTTGGATACTATTCTTTTGCTAAAAAAAAAAAGAGATACCAAGGAACTTGGTGTTACTGCTCACCTGTCACAACTTGCTGGCACTGTGGTGAACTGATGTGTTATTTCTTTGGGATTAGAGTGAGCCTCTCTAGTCACATGGATATTTCAGAGCTATAGAAACAGGCGGCTTACCAACCCATGTCGGGGTAGTCTCTTGGCTCAGTGAAGTGGTTTTTTTTTTTCTTTTTTTCAGGTAGAATCAAGTAACTTCTTTCCAGTGGTAGCTCCAGCTACCATTGATGAATAACTGTTTTTTTAATCTAGACTTACAGTCATGATTTTAAAAATTCACAACACAGTTGGAACAGAGTTTAGTTAGCAGATATAAAAGAGGAATAGGAGGGATATTAATAGGTACCTCTACAAAGTAAGTAACCAAAGAAAAGTTGATGGATACAGCCCATACCTGCTTTCAGTATTTACATGTTGTATGGTGAGTTAACAAGCAGGGGACTTGGTAAGTGTTCAATACATATGAAAAGCTGAGCTGGATATTATTACATGGAAACAGAAGCATGTAGAAATGTTTCTAATAGGCATCCCTATGCCTAGTTACCATCAGGATTAATGTTTAAGCCAAATTTTAAATACAGTACCAGTTAACTATAACTGAGCAATTAAAAAGTTTACCTGGAAATAGAGCTTGATCTGATATATATATTTTTTTTTGATATGGTATGGTTTTAGAGTAAAAACATCTTAAGAAAAATGGTTTCAGATTGTGTCTAGGAACCAACAGAGTTATTCCTGCTGGTTTCCCTTTGTCAGCACTGACTTTTTAAGAGATTCTATTGTCTTATTGCTTCTTTTTAGAGTATATTCCGAGTAGTTTTCCATGACAGACGGCTACAGTACACAGAACACCAGCAACTGGAGGGCTGGAGATGGAACCGACCCGGAGACAGGATCCTTGACATAGGTAAGATAAGAGAATCTGTTGCCCAAGATATGCCTATAACTGTGGATTGAAAATTGGTTTTTCTTACTTGATGTTGTGATTCACAGTGCTGTAGAGGTTCAGATAACATGAATATGGAAGTGGTTATTGACTAAGCATAAAAAATTAACGGTTTGATGAATCAGAGTTGAAGTTAGGGGCCTCCCCTGGTGGTGCAGGCGGTTGAGCGCAGCGCTGTGAAACTGTCCACAGCCTCTGCAGCGCTGGTTCAATCCCGGCCGGCCTGCGAGGGTCCCACATGGCATGGCAGACCTCTCCTTCCGCCCGCTGCTCCCCTCAGCAGTGTATTTTGACATTCTGCCTGTTCTGCTCCCTGCTCTGTCTGGTGAATCTTCTCACCCTCCCGCGCATCTGGCCTGTATCCCTGTTCTTGTATAAAATAAATAAATCTTTTTTTAAAAAAAAAATTGAAGTTAGAAGTGTAAACAATTAAAATTCATAAAAATTGTACCCATTACTGCAGGGTGATATTTTAGTTTATTTTTTTTGCATTTAGCTGTAAAATATGCTTAACGTAAAATTCACCATTTTAACAGTTTTTAAGTAATACAGTCCAGTAGCATAAAGTACATTCACATCACTACCATCACTACCATCCTTTCAGTAAACTCTTTGTTCCTTAAACTATAGCTCCCTATTCCCTCCTCTTCCAACCCCCCTACTTTTTTGTTTGAATTTGACTCCTCTAGGTAATTCATGTAAGTGAAATAAATAATCCATTTTTGTCTTGTGATTGACTTATTTTACTTACCATAAGGGGCAAGCATGTGTCAGAAATTCTTGCGTGTGTCAGAAATTCAAATCATTTGACCAAATATGTGGGGATAGATTCTGGGGTCTCTATTTCATTGATCTTCATGACTATCTTTATGAAATACCACACTATTTTGCTAACTGCAATTTTGTAGAACCAGGAAAAAAGAGATCTCCAACTTTTTTTTTTTTCCAAAATTGTTTTGGCTATTCAAGACTTCATTTATTTTTTAAAGGAGAGGCAACTTTATTTTTTTAATAACCTTTTTTTTTTAGATTTATTTATTTGTACAAGCACTGGGTACAGTCAGATGTGCGGGGAGGGGGGGGGCAGGTGAGAGGATTCACCAGAGACAGAGCGGGGAACAGAACAGGCAGACTGACAGCGGCAGGAGAGGTCTGCGCGCCATGTGGGACCCTCGCCGGTAGCTGGGGATTGAACCAGCGCTGCAGAGGCTGCAGGCAGCTTTGCAGCCCAGTGCTCAACCGCTGAGCCACTGGGGAGGCCCTATTCAAGACTTCATATTTTGTTTTGAGTAATATGTAAAAGGGCCAGTTTTTTTCTCATTATGCTGAAAGTTACTTTATTTTACTAGAAGGCCAGATTAATAGTGTGTCTTACCCAAAGAGATCTGTGATTAGAATCTGTCTCTTGGTTTGAGGTCAGGATTTTTCCCTACTTGGCTTCACAGAGTAGAATTTTATTTTTCTCAAATCATAGGGAGTAGGGGAAGGATTTTTTACACAGATTTAGCTGTTCTTTATGAATGTGCTTTAAATTTGGTATCTGTGTCTTCGATCTCCTATCGGTTATTACCTCCTATTGGACTATAGAGTTGTTATAAATAGCTACCACCAGGTTTATCTGAGAAAACAGTGGTTCTCATATAGATGTCCATTTGATAAATTGACTTCAGGATGAATCCAATTAATTAACACTGTGAAGGGGGACCCACTTACTGCTTTCTTGCTTGAATCATTGAAACTACAATAGTAGTTTAGTTGTAGCATAGTTACAATAATAAGTATTATCAACCTGGCTTTATCTTTCCAGTTTCAATATGAATAGACGTCAAGGGATGCTATTTCAAAATATGTCATGTGAAATGGAAAGCAGAGTTCTAAAGTACATTCATTTTTGCTTCCCTCTTGAATATAAGATATGTCATTCCTTTTTAAGGTTATTTGATGACTGTACAAGTTAGCATCAATCCTTATGTTAAATTTTCCCCACTTCTATTTGTGATACAGTGCCTTCTGTCTTTTTCAGATACTCTTTATCCTTCTACAGCAGTCCTTTCAGTGTACTTCTGCAGCAACACTAATCTTAAAACTAAGTGAAGCAGATTATAAATTAAAATTTTCATGAGTTAGTGTGAAGATTTAATCTATCTTTAAGTAGAATATTGGCAAATCAATGGGAAGCTGTTTCTAAATTAGCTTAAATTTTAAAATTTAGCTCTAATCAAACCACTTTCATTGGCAGAAGAGGTTTGTTTAGGGTGTGATACACAAAAGTCTTGGTAAACAGGGACTGATAATATGGGAATCCATGTTTCCTTATTTAAACACAGTAGCCTTCAAAGTTGTTCAATACTTACAATTTTGTTTCTCAGATATCCCCATGTCTGTGGGTATAATCGATCCGAGAGCTAATCCAACACAACTAAACACAGTGGAGTTCCTGTGGGACCCTGCAAAAAGGACATCTGTATTTATTCAGGTAAGGCATTGCAGATGAGGTTAAGTTGTGAAGAGCATCTCTACTACCAGTTTATTTCTTGAAGGATAAAACATGTTAAATTTCAAATCTTACAGGGTTCCAACCTATCAAGTGCAGGCTTCTCAACATATATCTGAAAGTCATGAGGAGTTTCTGAATTGCTCTCTCCAATTTATTTTTGTTTCCCAAAAATATTTGCTAATAGCAGCATAGTATTTTATTCTTTGGGTGTCCTGTAATTTACCTAATGCTTTTTTAGCATCTAGGTTGTTCTGATTTTTCACTATAATCCATGAAGCTATTTTGAACATCTGCATATTTAGAATTTAATTCACATAGCTGGGGATTATGTCCTTTGGGTAGAGTCCTTGAAAATGGTGTCTCCTCTTTCTAAAATTTTCTTTAAAGCTCAGGAGACTTTTATTAACCGAATTTCTTTTATGTTTACTCTGTAGTCTCTGAAACAGTTAATGAATTAATTCTTCACAGCAGCTTTTGTTAGCACTAGATCTATACATTTACTTTACTACATTTGTAAATCATTTAAATTTTCCCCTTTTTTTCTGTTAGCATGCAAACTCATCATGATCAAGGAGAGAATAAAAGCTTTTTTTGTAGGTGTTTATAATGCATTTTAAAGTTTTCGTTGTTAGTAATTGCTCACAAAATGTTGCCGGCCGGTTTGGCCACCAGTCCTGAGCACTGGGTGCTATGCTCTCTCCAGGTGCACTGCATCAGCACGGAGTTCACCATGAGGAAACATGGTGGGGAAAAGGGAGTGCCTTTCCGAGTACAGATTGATACCTTCAAGGAGAATGAGAATGGGGAATATACTGAGCACTTACACTCAGCCAGCTGCCAGATCAAAGTCTTCAAGGTATTTCCTGGGCATTGTCTTGACACTTGGACCTTTTCCCTCATCTTTCATTTTTACTGCTAAACACCAAGTCAGAAATTTCACTCGTCATTTTTCAAAAACTATGAAAACTGAGGCCTCCCCTGGAGGTGCAGAGGTTGAGCACTGGGTTGCGAGGCTGCCCACAGCTTCTGCAGCGCCAGTTCAATCCCCGGCCAGTGGCAAGGGTCCCACACACACAAAAAAAAAACAAAAACAAAACTGTGAAAACTCAACCTAAGCTGAATCATTGAAGGAACTACTGAGATACCTGGTAAAGAGATTTAACCAGGCTTGGTTATAGGAGAAGAGGAAAAAGGAGCTAGAAACAAAAACATGGATTTTCATTAAAATTTCTTTTTCCTTTAAAAAAAAGATTTATTTATTTATGCAAGAACTGGGGTACAGGCCAGGTGTGCGGGAGGGTGAGAGGATTCACTGGAGACAGAGTGGGGAACAGAACAGGCAGACTAACCGAAATACACTGTTGAGGGGAGCAGTGGGCGAGATAGGAGAGGTCTGTAGCGCCATGTGGGCATCTCCCTGGTCGGCTGGGATTGAGCCCACACCACAGAGGCTGTGGACAGCTTCACAGCACATCGCTCCACCACCACCTGTGCCAGGGAGACCCACATTAAAATTTCTTAAAGCCTATTGAAGTTAAAAGCTTTTGTAAAAGCTCACAAAAATTATGGAAAGCTGACAGCTTTGGTTACATTCATACTTAATTATTTCTCTATGTTCCTTATTTTTATCATGTGGATAGATATATTTTCATTGCAAAAGATTTATTAATACAAAAGTATCCAAAGCATGACACCTTTCACACTGTTACCCTGACCCCCAGACTTTTTCCCAGAAACAACCACTGTGGTAATTTAGTATGCATCCCTTATTCCCCTTCTGTGCTTTTTATATACATGTGCATAGATATACAGATGTTTTCTTTTCTTTGAAATACAAGTGGGATTTTATTCTATGGATTGTCTTGAGGCTTGCTTTTTTCAGTTAACTGTGCTTTGAAGATCTTTCCTTACCAGTAGCTATAAATTTCTTCTTCCACTCTATCAAACTCTTAAATTTCTGTTTTCAAAATGAAAATGATGTGGGCCTCCCCGGTGGTGCAGCGGTTGAGCACTGGGTTGCGAAGCTGCCCGCAGCCTCTGCAGCGCCGGTTTGATCCCCAGCTGCTCCGCGGCCACCAGAGGAGGGTCCCACATGGCGCACAGACCTCTCCTGCCGCCCGCTGCTCCCCTCAACAGTGTACTTCGGTCCTTCTGCCTGCTCTGCTCCCCGCTCTGGCTCTGGTGAATTCTCTCACCCTTCCGTGCTTCTGACTGTACCCAGTGCTTGTATGTATGTATGTATGTATACATAAATAAATAAATAAAATTTTTAAAAAATGAAAATGATGCATCTTGTCTTTATGTGATGTGTACACATATTTTTCTTTCACATGTAAGTTTTCAGGAGTAATATTGTTGGGTCAAAGGGTGAATACTTGAATTTAAACTAAAATATTTCTCATTTTAGCCCAAAGGTGCAGACAGAAAGCAAAAAACAGATAGGGAGAAAATGGAGAAACGAACTCCTCACGAAAAGGAGAAATATCAACCTTCCTATGAGACAACTATACTCACAGAGGTAAAAAGCATTCCCTTGGTGGTAATTTCAACCAGTGCTTTTTATTCTTGAAAGAAAAATACAGTCATTTTGCAATATAGAGATATATCAAATCAATATATTATGAACCTACAACTAACACAATGTTATATGTCAATTATATTTCAATTTTAAAAAAATCACATCTCACCTAGACAGAATTTTGTCTTGATTATATATTCTATCAGTTGTGGGTGCCTCAGAGGAATTAAGATTTACTAGGACCAGGAAAATGAATATAAGAAAGTGAAAATCAAAATCAACAAAAAACTATGAACCAGAGACACTTTTTGGGGGGTGGGGGGGCGGGAGGGGAAGGATTGGGGTCAGAATGGGGCGTTTGCAATTGTATGGGGGAATATAAAAATAAAATTTAATATTTAAAAAAAAAAAAAAAAAAAAAAAGGAAAAGTATTGGATGATTTTACTTATAGGAGGAATGTAGGGAAACCAAATAAGGGATAAGGAAAAAAATTATAAAACTAAAAACCAAAATTAACAAGCAACTATTAATCAGAGATACTCTGCAGGGGAGGGGGCGGGCGAGGGATCAAAACATGGGAGGGAAGACACAAGGGACTCTGGTGATGGTGCACAGGTAAATTGGTAGCTGGAATTTTATGGGGACTACACTTGAGAGAAGAAAACATGCTTTCTACAAAAAGGAAGAATGATGTAAAATATAGTCAAGATGTACTATTCTAGTTACAATGTTTTGGTAGAATGTAAGGGTCAAACATACTTTTCAGTGTTTCAATTCTCTTTTGTTTTTAGTGTTCTCCATGGCCTGAGATCACATATGTCAATAATTCCCCATCACCTGGATTTAATAGTTCCCATAGCAGTTTTTCTCTTGGAGAAGGGTAAGTCTGGGAAATGTGTTTGACCTAAATATGTATTCTTTCATTGCCGCTCCATTCACAAGATCTTACCAAGTCACTGTATATTTCTATATAATGTTTTTTTCTTTGTACATTTATTTTATTTATTTATGCATACAAGCACTGGGGTATAGGCCAGAGGTACAGGGGGTGAGAGGATTGACTCGGGACAGAATGGGAAGCAGAACAGGCAGATCTACTGAAATACAGTGTTGAGGGGAGCAGTAGGGGAGACAGGAGAGGTCTGCTGCGCCATGTGGGCCAGCTCCCTGCCTGGGATTGAACTTATGCCACAGTGACTGGTGATAGCTTGATAATGCTGAGACTTTAACCCCTGCTCCACCAGGGGGGCCCTCTGTATAAAGTCTTTGATGGCTTTCTATATTAACTGAGAGTTGGATTATCTTCAGGAGAAACTGAAAATTTTTTTATGTAACCCTTTCTCCACCTCCTTCTTTTTTTCTCCCATTAAAATACAGTATTTATGGTCAGTTTTTAGTGATTCATGGACTGATTTTCTGGGCTTTTCACTTCTCCCTATTTGCCACTAACCTGTTTGCTGCTAACTATTTCACTTTCTGATCATAATTTCACTGGAGGAGTGGTCATTGGGAATGGAAACAGTTATATAAATACTAAAACCTGTTTTGTTATTTATTAAAAGTGATCCTAATACCTAGTTATTACAAATCTTTGATAATTGGGGAAAGAGTGTTAAAGATGATAGCTAACATGAAATCTTACAATTATCTATGGGGGGTGCAGTTAATTTAGCCTTATTGTCTTTTATTTTCATAAATAATTACAAATTGGTATAGCTACCTACTCCAGTTACAATAAATTGATTTAGCATTTAATACGTATTCCAAAGAGGCCATATTGAAATTTGAAATAGGCTACTAAATTTGTGAGTATATTGGTTGGTTGTAGTGTTTGTTTTTGAAGCTATATATATGTTCTATGTTCAACTACCTAAAGTATTTAATTAATTTAGGTAAAATAAATATTCAAAATGTAACAATTAAGAATAAAATAGAAGATGTAGAAAGAATAGATAACTAGGGCCCTGAAATAAGTAGATTATTTAATTTGAGTGCTGAATTTGAATTTTGCAACTACGGCAGAAAAGAAGAAAAAGGGTTATTTTGAAAGAAAAAAAAAATCTTGCCACCCACCTGGAGTATGCAGTTTACTTACAGGCAATTTTAAACCAATGTTGCATTTGAGTCCTGTTTTAAAATTTTATCTCTTCTCCTTGTCGTGGCATCATTAATAGGATGAAATTTTGGTTTCAGAAAATAAGTACTCATTACTGAGGCTACCAGAAAGGGAAGGCTGGGGGCTTGGTAGCCCAGTGGACTGGGATAAAGGTTTATCAGTGCTTTGGCGGTGAGCATGGTGTGATAATACCATGAAAACATTCATTTGTAGGGGTGTAGCCTGTACCCTAAAACATACAGTGTAACTAATTAATATTAACTCAATAAATATCATTTAAAAAAAACTATACACCAGGGGAGAGAGGCAGTCTGTAGACCAAAGGAAAGTATGAGGGAAAACCATGGGCATGGCAATAGCCCTTGGATCACAACTTAGGCAGTACTAATTTCTGAAGCAGCTTTTAAAATAATTACTGTGTTTTTTATTATAAAAGTATGTGAGCATATTGCAGTGCGTAAATTTTCTAATTTTCCTGTGTTACTGATTATTTTTATACTCTTATTTTGGTTTTCATTCTAATAAATTTCTTCTGTTAAATATTCCATATGCCATTTATCTCATCAGTCCCAACTTACTGAAACGTTGATTTTGTTCAATTTCTCCAATAATAAAAAATACCACAAATAACACAGTTTGTTCCCCTCCCCTAAATAAAGTTTTTATATCAGATGAACAATAATAGAAGTATTGGGTCTAAGAGTTCTTATGAGAGAGCATAGATTCTTTTCAATCTCTAGCTTTAGATGTACAAGGGGGATGGAGAATGAGATGATGATGAACCCTAGTGTGTATCATGGACTCATCCTTTCATTTTAAATGTTTCTTTAGAAATGGTTCACCAAACCACCAGCCAGAGCCACCCCCTCCAGTCACAGATGTAAGTCTGAAGTTAAATGTCAGTTATTTGCAATGTCTAATAATATTTTGATGACTGTCCAATTTAGTAGAAATGCCCAACTTTGAGGAAGTATTACTTGTTCATTCATTAAACATTTGTTGAATATTGACTGTGAACCAGATACTACGCTAGGGACTAAAGACAGGAAACAAGTAATCAGGACACTGGCATTTAAGGAGCTGACAGTCCAGAGGGGAAAATAAAGATGTGGAATTCCAAGGACAGCTTGCATGGTCAGAGAAGACTGAGGGGGTATAAACAAATGACTTTCAGGCAAACTAGGCCTATTTGAGTGTGGGTATGTTTGGCTGTGTTACCTAATGATGTGAGAGAAAATTCTATATAGTCACCAAAAATAAAAAATGTTTTCTCTCTTTCAGAACCTCTTGCCAACAACCACACCTCAGGAAGCTCAACAGTGGTTGCATCGAAACCGGTTTTCTACCTTCACAAGGCTTTTTACAAACTTCTCAGGTTAAATTTACTTCTTTGCTCCTATCCCCAGCACAGGATATTCCTTGATATTCTAGGGCTTTCTGTCATTCACGTGAAAGGGGGGGGCGGGGGGGTTGTGTGTGTATGTGAGAGAGAGAGACATCTTACTGAAATTTTCTTTTCTTGAATATTTTATTTATTTTTGCATAGAACTGGGGTGCAGGCCAGAGGTGCGGGGGTGGGGGTGAAATGAGAGGATTCACCTAAGACAGAGTGGGGAGCAGAATAGGCAGATTGACTGAAATACACTGCTGAGGGGAGCAGCGGGCGAGATAGGAGGGGTCTGCTGCGCCATATGTGGGTTAGCTTCCTGGCCGGGGATCGAACTCAGACTATTGCAGTGGGCCTTCAAGATGGTAGCGCTGAGACCTAACCCTTATGCCACCAGGGAGGCCCTTAGTGAAATTTCCTGATTAAATGAGTGTCACAGAACTCTTTATACTTTCTCACCAGCTGCAACTGCTACAAAATACTTTAAAAAAAAAAAAGACCTCTTAGTTTAAATTCATTTTGATTAAAATACTTATTCTATATAACACTTAAGAATGTGTATTTCATATAATATTTAGTAAGGAACATTTTCAGGTATTCTGAAATTTTCCCTTGTTATCACATTCTGTTCTATTTGTACATTTGACTTTTATTTAGCTCCTTCTGTATACTCTATGTGGTTGGTTGGAATACACAAATGGAATGATGTAGTTCCTGATCAGTCATCATCTAATATTAAAAAAAATCCAAATCAAATCAAAATATCACTGCCCCAAAAGGTAAATGAGTAGTTGTAATACAGTAGGGAACACGTGTGATGTGTAAGTTGAATCTTGAATGATGAGGCGGGATCTGTTTGTCAGATAGTGGAAGGATAGTTTAGACAGGAGAACAGCTTACTCGTTAAGAAGACATCAGAATGGTGAAATAATAGGGTTAAGTGCAGTAGTTAATTTGAATGGAAATTGAGATGAGAAAGGATGCAGGGACCAGGACACTGCGCGGGGTTGGGGGGGGGGGTGGGGGGTAGGGAGGAAAGGCCTTATACACCATGCAGAAGAGTATGGGCTGTAACCTACTAGTAATGGGTGTCCTTGAAGTAGATCCCATTTTAATAATCATTAACAAAGAGAATCTTTGCCTTTATCACCCATTTTTCTATTTTCTAGGAGCAGATTTATTGAAACTAACTAGAGATGATGTAATTCAGATCTGTGGTCCTGCGGATGGAATCAGACTTTTTAATGCATTAAAAGGCCGGTATGTAATTAGTGTCTAAAATACCAATGAGGTTGGATTTCACATGGAGCTCTTCATAATATTCTTTGCATAGCTAAGTTCATCTTGTCAAAGCATTCTTTTTGAATGCCAGTCTGTACCAAATGAGCAAAGATAAAAAATATCCTTTCCTACATTTGATTCAAGGCATTCCCCATGATATCCCATTTTTCATTTCCAGGTAGTTTTTTCATTCAATAAACATTTAAAAAATATTCAATAAACATTCTTTTTTTTTTCTTTGTTTTTTTTTTTTTTTTGGTGGGACACTTGCCGGCGGCCAGGGAACAAACCGGCACTGCAGAAGCTGCTGGCAGCCTCGCAGCCCAGTGCTCAACTGCTGCGCCACCAGGGGAGGCCCAATAAATATTCTTTTGTGAGCCACGAACTACTATAGGCTTAGGGGATGCAATTGTGAGCAAAAAAGACAGGGTACCCATTATTGTGGAGTTTTCTTTATAATGGGGAGAAAGACAAAAATATAAACAGTGTTTTGGGTAGTGATAGGTGCTTTGAAGGAAAACAAAACAAAAATAAGGTTGTGGTTTATTGAGTACACTGAATATAGTCAGGAAAGACCTCTGAGGAGGGGGGTACTTAAACTGAATTATGAGAACGATTGGAATATGGGGTTATGTGAAGTGTGTCCTGGGCAGAACAATGGGTACAAAGGCCCAGAGTCAGTTTTAACTGGAGAAGGGTCATTCTTAAATTTGCGTAGAAATTGTTTAAGTGTCTACTTACAAATATTACCTGTAATACAGAATGCTTTGTAGTTCCTACTTGTGATTTACAATTTCAAATAGGTAGTCGTAATATTGATGACAAACACATATAGGTCAGTGCCATAGAATCGCATCAATGACTAAATAATGAAACATTGCGAAGTGTGTATATTTGTGTATATCACAAATACTGAATCAGGTTGGCTGTAATCTTAGAAAGTTTGAAGGAAAATGGTGAATTTCAGGGGTTGACTGGGGGATTGGAGAATAAATTCTGTGGCTGTGTGCACACAACATGTCATAACTGGCATTTATTGAGGAAGACGAAGGTCAAACTCCTTACAACCCCCATCCTACCAGGGAACAAATTCCAATAACAAAAAAATAAGCATTCTAAGGGCAACGTTTACGTGTCCCAGAATCTTTCTTTTTTTTAAGTGTTTAAAGGGAGTTTAGAGGGCCTCCCCTGTGGCGCAGCAGTTGAGCACTGGGTTGTGAAGCTGCCCGCAGTCTCTGTAGCACCGGTTCGATCCCTGGCTGCTCCCCGGCCACCGGAGGAGGGTTCCATATGGCGCGCAGACCTCTCCTGCCGCCCGCTGCTCCCCTCAGCAGTGTACTTCGGTCCTTCTGCCTGCTCTGCTCCCTGCTCTGGCTCTGGTGAATTCTCTCACCCTCCCGCGCTTCTGACTGTACCCAGTGCTTGTATAAATAAATAAATAAATCTTTAAAAAAAAATAAAGGGAGTTTAGAAATAGGAAGGAATGAGGTGATCAGATCAATAATTGGATACTGTTGTCTAAAAGATACGAACAAAAAGAAGTCTTAAACTACTTAGGAGAATGTAATGAGGAAAATAAGATTGTCTGGTTCACTGTTTTGGCACGCTTAAGAAAAAGGCATATCTTGAACCTGATTCATAAAACAGTAGATCACACATTCTGAATATTTGTAACCTTTACACTGAAGGTCAAATGATGGTAGTGGCCACATGTGAGTGAGTGACAGTCAAGGTCAGCTGACTGTGGTTTTTAAGAGTGATATATGCCAGCTCTGAATTTTTTTAAGGAAAGGCAAAAATTCAGAGGTTTATATGATACCTTCTACTAGATACAATTCAGTTTAAAGAAAAAAACAAAACTTAATATTCACCAGCTGGGAACTAATAAAACATAGCAAATGAGGGCCTCCCTGGCAGTGCAGGCAGTTGAGCACAGTACTGTGAAGCTGTCCGCAGCCTCTGCGGCATGGGTTTGATCCCGGCCAGCCAGGGAGAAATCCACATGGTGCAGCAGACCTCTCCTGTCTCGCCCACTGCTCCCCTCAGCAGTGTATTTCGTCAGTCTGCCTGTTCTGTTCCCCGCTCTGTCTCTGGTGAATCCTCTCACCCTCCCGCACATCTGGCCTGAGCCCCAGCTCTTGTATGCATAGATAAATAAATCTTTTTTTAAAAAAGAAATGCATATTGGGCCTCCCCTGGTGGCGCAGCGGTTGAGCACTGGGCTGCGAGGCTGCCCGCAGCCTCTGCAGTGCTGGTTCATTCCCCGGCCACCAGCGAGAGTCCAACAAAAAATAAATAAATAAATAAATAAATAAATAACATAGCAAATGAGCTGTCCATGGACTGCTAGTATTCAACCCCTGCTCTGTAGCATTAACGTAGACATACAATTTCTCCTTTAAAATTTGTTTACCATGAAAACTGTAAGACTAACAACCTTTTTTCCCTCCTCAGGATGGTGCGGCCACGACTGACCATTTATGTTTGTCAAGAGTCCTTGCAGTTGAGGGAGCAGCAGCAACAGCAGCAGCAACAGCAGCAGAAGCATGAGGATGGAGACTCAAATGGTACTTTCTTCGGTAGGTCGTTTTGGATGGGCCAAATGTGAAGAGATGACTTCTGAGCATGCGTGTTGGCAATTTACCAAAAGCACATTTAGCATTTGCTAGAGGCAAAGGTGATTGCTAATGTATATTGGAGTTCCTAATATATGCCAGGCACTCTTCTCAAGCACTTTTACATACTTTAATTTTTTGCAACAAATATCTCTTCTTTGCAGTAGATGTTATTATTATTACCAATATTTAGATGAGGAAAATGAGGCTGTGTTAAGTAACTTGCTAGCAAATGGTAGAGTTAGGATTTGAATTCAGGCAGTCTGACTGAGCCCTTCAGAAAAGTGGATGTTGCTGGTGCTCAGATTAACTAAGAGCAAAGGAGCTTTGTATTGACTGTCCTTCCTTTGTCCTTTTGCAGTGTATCATGCCATCTATCTAGAAGAATTGACTGCTATTGAATTGACAGAGAAAATTGCACAGCTTTTCAGTATCTCGCCTCACCAGATCAGCCAGATCTACAAGCAGGGGCCAACAGGAATCCATGTGCTCATCAGTGATGAGGTACTTTTTCAGGCGACAATACGTTTGTCAAGGCACATGGCAAGAGTGAGAGTAGTTCTGGGCCTCCCCGGTGGCGCAGCGGTTGAGCGCTGGGTTGCGAAGCTGCCCGCGGCCTCTGCGGCGCCGGTTCGATCCCCGGCTGCTCCCCGGCCACCAGAGGAGGGTCCCACATGGCGTGCAGACCTCTCCTGCCGCCCGCTGCTCCCCTCAGCAGTGTACTTCGGTCCTTCTGCCTGCTCTGCTCCCCGCTCTGGCTCTGGTGAATTCTCTCACCCTCCCGCGCTTCTGACTGTACCCAGTGCATGTATAAACAAAACAAACAAACAAACCAGCAAACAAATAAATAAAGCATGCCTCTATAAAAAAAAAAAAAAAAAAAAAAAAAAAGAGTGAGAGTAGTTCTACTAAGGCAGAGTGCTGTTTTCTAGATCACAGATTTTCAAGTGTTTTGCTTGCCCTACTTCCTAAAATAATTTTACAACACCATGTATCCCCTTGCACATTATTAGTTGACTTAATATTTTTTGTTTTCTGCTTAAATAATTGAAAAAGTTGTAATTTCTGGGAATATTGTATGACATTTAGGGCCTCCCCAGTGGCGCAGCGGTTGAGCGCTGGGTTGCGAAGCCTGCCCACAGGCTCTGCAGCGCCGGTTCGATCCCCGGCCACCGGGTGAGGGTCCCACATGGCGCACAGACCTCCCCTGCCGCCGGCTGCTCCCCTCAGCAGTGTTATTTCGTCAGTCTGCCTCCTGTGCTCTCAGCTCTGACTCTGGTGATTTCTCTCACCCTCCCACGCTTCTGACTACCCAGTGCTTGTATAAATAAATAAATCTTTAAAAATATATATATATTGTATGACATTTAAAAATGTCATACACTTTCTACCTATATACAAGAGTTATTTAACACTATTATCATCCATTGAAAAGAAAATATATTAATGTACTTTTCTTTAACAGAATTTTATATCATTCTTTGTGTCCTTGAATACATGTTTCCATTCATCCTCCACATAGAATTTTGCCTCACTCTACCTTTTCTGCTTGAACATCTTTTGTTAATTATCCTACCATATTTCTTTGAAACGAAAATTTATTTCAGCTAAAAAACTTGTTTCAATAAAAAATTTGATCAGTTATTCTGAATAGAATTATCATCGTAATGTTACAATCAATTAAGACAACATGTATTACATATTTTGTAAAGTAATTATTAGACATTAAGAAAAGTATTTCTTGCTCTGAAACCTGACGGTCCTTGGACCAGCAAATGACTGCACACACTCTGGCTGCAGGGGTGGTCAGGGACCTGGCACCGTCTTTGAGTGGCAAGAAGGAGCAGTTGATGTCTTTGCTGGAACAGCTGGAGGCCTTATCTAAGGTTCCTACAGAAATGCTGGCAATTTTGAGAAACTAAAAGTTGTTACAATCTAGAGGAGAAACCAAGTACTAGCTTTTTTAGTTCACATAGATGGGGGATTTCAGGAACTGATGAAACTGGCACTAATTCAGGGAAGAATCCATCATGAAATGCAAGTTTTAGACAAGAGGTAAAGGAGAGCACAGTGATATTCAGGACTGCAAAAACAGTTAAAGGAAGCAGAAATGCTCCCAACAGCTATTTCCCAAACGAAGGAAAAACTCAAAGAAAAAGTAAGGAAGGGTGTTGTCTCCTCTGAAGAAATAGTGAAGTATGCATATAGGATTAGTGAAGATAATTCTGTGTGTGTCGCACTGACCTGGGCTTCAGGGGACCCACAGAGGCCATATCCAACTTAGCGATGAGAAGTGGATTATTGGATCAAATGAGCAGTCCTTCCTATAATGGTATGAAGGGTCATTTGCCAGGGATGCACTTGTGGCAGGCAGACCGCCAGATATCCTTGTTCCACAGTGTCCAAAAATTATACAGTGATGTTATAAAAAAGTATTTTGAATCTCCAGTCACTTGACAATCTGATTAGGTCACTCTTTAATTCTGATGAAAGGAAACCACGTGACTCACACGAGTTTGTTGTCCAGTAATCATAGTTCACATTTGCATTTACACTTTGGCATCCTAGAGCCTTTAATACTCCAGGGCAGTGTATCTTAGTAGGATTCCAAGAAGGTGAGACTCATGCCTTTATTTCGTAAACTGGGAAAAGGTGTTTGAGAAGGGAAAGTGGCAAAGGAAATCTGAACAGGTGGTTTTAGGAAAGAATGCATATGAGAGTTGAGGACCTAGAAGTCAGTTTTCCATGTAGTTCTATAATGTCTGTAACCCTTGGAAAATATTGGGATTAACCCAGAAATACTACAATTTAAAAATCATTGTTTTAGTCTGCTTAGTTTTTTAAACCTAAAAATTAAGCGAATGACAATATAACAAGACAAAGGATTGTTTTTATTTAAATCTAATGTCAAAATAGATACAACAAACCAAAGTTTCTAATAATCAGCAGATTTTCTTGCATTTTGCAGATGATACAAAACTTTCAGGAAGAAGCTTGTTTTATTCTGGACACAATGAAAGGTAATACAATAGTAAAACAAATGCTTTTCTGTAAGGCATTTAAGAGCTTTTTAAATATTTCTTTGTGAAAAAAAGGGAAGTATCAACGACCTTATCTGAAGTAGAAAAAGTGACATTAGAGATCGTTTCTCTGTATGAATTCTTCTACTCTGCCATTATCAGAGTAGAAGTGTAAGTGATGACTCTGTCATTCTGTTCCCCCTTCCTTGGAGAGATGAGGAAATTGAGTCATGTTTTATAATATGTATTGATTATATGTCCTGTGATAATTAATAGGCATACTGTCCTTTGCCCTGCTGTATTTTTTTTCCTTCTCAAAAGAACCTTACCATTCTTTTTTCTCCTATGTTGTAGAGGTAACTGAAGATTTTTTTTCTCTCTCTCTCTTTTACAGCAGAAACCAATGATAGCTATCATATCATACTGAAGTAGTTGTGGGGCCTTCAATCCTCAGTGACTTCTGCTTCCTTCACCTCTTGGAAACTTCCCTCTCTTGGAAGGGGTGAAAATGGAAATATGAAGGTCTGCAGGAACCTGACTCATCTGACTGTGTGGGGAGTCCAGGCGGTGGAGGCAGAATCCCAGCCATTTGTGTTGATGCACGCTCTTGTAGCACACAGATTACTGCCCAACATGCATTTCTGCAGCTATTTCTTGGTTAAAATTTCTGGACCCTGTCATTGTTGAATATTATTAGAAACTACATACCATCTAGGCTGTATGTAGGGCGTGATAATGAGAATTGTGTGATGTTTAATGGAAAGATGTTAAATTTTTGTAATATGGAGCCATGTAATTTTTTCTAATATAAAAGTGAACACCTATATTCCTAAGACTAGATCCTCAATCTCTTTTTGCATCACACTTAGTGGCTTTTTGCCACAATTGGGCCCTGAAAACCTCATGAAAGGAAAAATTTGTTCCCCTTTAATATTTTAGCTTACATTTATTGAGCATTTACTTGTGCCGAACAGATCAATTCTTTAAATGGATTATCTTGTTTAAATCTCAATAACCCCAGATTAAGTAGGTAATGTTGATCCCTAATTGAAGATAAGGGACTAGAGACACATAGTGGCTAAGTTCTTGCTAAGTAATAGGTAGGCAACCAGGAGGTAGTGGCACTGAAATCCAAACCCAGGCTGTCCGGCTCTTGATAACCACCACCCTTCACTGCAGCCCCCCTGCTTGCCATCCTTTCTTACTGTGGCTCTTCTTGTGAACAGGCGATAACTGATAAAAATTGAGAAATCAACCACTGAAAGGGATAAACCTAGTGATGAATGCATCAAAGGCGACACAAAATAAAAGCGTAGATGCTTTTTAAGCATCATCAGTCATCTGATTTATAGAATCTGAGGTGGTGAAAACTAGGGATTATTTGTAACTCCTAAAATTCATTGTTCTTGAATGATATCAAACTATTGAGTTTGGCTAACATCTGCTTTCTGATTATACGTTCTACATCTTACTTCTTGCAGTGTTCTTTTATATAAGCATTACAAGAAGTTCATTCCAATCCCATTCATACTTTTAGATATTTTAAATTTTTTCTTTAGAGAGAGAGAGAATGTGCGTGTGTGTGTGTGTGTGTGTGTAAAAGACTAGGGGTCCTCTTTTTTTTTTTCATATGTACAGTTTTATCCAGAAATCTCTTTACACATTATGTTGAAGTGAAAAAAGATAATGTTCGGAGATTCTGTATTGGGCTTGGATGTGTGTGTGTTTAAAGCATTTGATGAAGTTTAAATGTTTTTATACAGAGATTTTTGTTCATTAAAATCAACCGGCAATATGGTCTGATTTCTTTCAGTTTGAAACAAATTGAAAACTTTGAAACCAGAAAATCAAGTCAAATGACCTGGGCAACTTGACACATAGGCCAAAATACTTTTTTAGGGAATGATTACCAGATGTCCCAGCTGTGGGGGGATATTTCTAGTTGTGTTATGTTTTTAGGACTGGTTCTCTGCTTCAGGGAAGTCAGTTCTCTTCTTAGCAGGCTGCTACTGGGTTGGGTTTTTTTTCTTCTTATTCTATCTGAATGCTAGGCTGAGAGGATTTGACTAGATCACTGTTAAGGTCCCTTCTAAATTTGAAACTGGCTCTTGTTTACTGCAAATGATACACACAGTGCTATTAATATATTTACTATAAATTATACTTACTAAGTTTTACTTGGAGTTGGGTTTTTTTAAGAGTAATCTTCAAATTGATAGAGATGTATTTATATGACTTTGTAATTACAGATCCTTAAGTTATCCAGAAATTCTCTTAGACTTTCTTTAATTCTAAAAAGAATACTTATAGTGCCAAAGCTGTATAATTTATAAAAATTGGTATTGTGTTAGAATATTTTGATTATTCAACTTTCTTTAAAAAACTGAATCTTCCTCTCAAGTAAATGTAAATTTAAATTATCTTTTTCATTATGAAAGTAATACCTAAAGTGATAGATTCAAACAATAAAGAAGGGTATAACTTTTTCTACTGACCTCCTACTTCTATTGCAAAAAATTTATCCCACTCTCGGGCTCATGTTACACTAATGATCTGCAAGTTTTCTTTTGAAATTTTGAATGTCCTCCTATATTAGAATGTATAGTTATACATCATTCTCTTTTTTAAAATAACCATTCCTCATGGATGCAATTTAGGTTAAGTCATTTTGAACATGCATCCTTGTAAGTTTTTTGCTTGTATCTGTAAAATATATTCCTAGAAGTAAAATTTGCTAATTTCATCTTTTTTAGAATGTGACAGTTGATATTTAAAATAAAATACAAAATACATGATTTAATGTTTCTCTTACTGTGAAGGTATATGAAGGTGAGAATAGTTAGATTTTAGACCCTCCTGAGAACTGCAACAGCATCCTGTATGACAGGACTGTATAGTCTGTTGGAAGTGTAATAGGTCCCATTTAGGAGAATCTGATGTATAAAGATCTGCTCATTAAAAGGGAGTTATTGGGAAATTAAGGGAGTGGTGGAATCATGGCAGGACTCTAAAAATGAAGTATTAGTCACGACATGAAATGTGGCTATTATAAGAATGTCCAATATGTCCAATGAAGTTTGCCTACATGAGTGATTTATTTAAGATGCCATTTAAAGGGGGGAAGAAAAGGAGTTGGTCATATTGTCTAGGAGATTACAGTACAACAGACACAAGACAAATGAGAAACGGGGCAGGTGTTCTGATTCCTGGGGATCTTGGGCACAGTCAGGCACTGCCTATGTTGAGCATGATCTCCCACTAAGGTGGAGGCACATGCAGAAGCTTAGCAAAGGGAACTAAGCTATTTCTAATTTATGCCTGATGAATGTTCTGGAAACCCTTTGTACCTCCAAGGACTCTGAGAAAGTCTTTTGTATAAGGTTGCTGTGGAGATTTGGGCTGTCTTACAACTACCATGAGGAATTAAATGAAACTTCAGCATTCAGTTTTGAAAGTAACACAAATTTTGGTGCAAACCTTTGACATCAGAGCTGAGCTGCTTCCCTCTTCCCTGTAGCTTTTGTCTCCAGCTAGTACCTAACAATTCCACAGAGCTTGGGGCCCAAACGATGAAGCTGAGCGATATTTTATCAGTTTATTGAATCATTACTCAGCTTCCTGGGCCATGGGTAGTTCCTTTATAGGAATGTGTTATGGCCTCTTGGTCCCAGGTGAGAATTCCATTCCCAACAAAATGGCACAAATGTCCCCCAAGCCACATCATTTATATACTAATTCTTAGAGAATAATCCTACATAATTCTGCTTTTTTTTTTAAGATTTATTTATTTTTATACAACAGCTGGGGTACAGGCCAGAATTGTGGGGGGTGAGAGGATTCACCAGAGACAGAGTGGGGAGCAGAACAGGCAGATCTACTGAAATACACTGCTGCGGGGAGCCAGGAGCAAGCCAGGAGAGGTCTGCTGCGCCATGTAGGTTAGCATCCATGCCGGGGATTGAACTCATGCCACAGTGGCTGGCTATAGTTTGATAGCACTTAGACTTTAACCCCTGTGCCACAAGGGAGGGCCAACCTTTTACTTTTTCAATAGATACAGATCAATTTGTGAATATCCTTTTTGAAACTCCTTGATAACATCCATGTAGTTTCTGCATTGTTTGTACTCTTAAATTGCTATGGCTCTCTCCAGATTTTCACACATTGCCCTCTTGGTGTGTGGAATTAGTCATGAAGAACTAATTTGACTTGAGCTATATTATAATTAAATATAAATTACAATTAAATGTCAACATACAACTTCAGGACAAAATCTGTAGGTTCTGTATCAGAAAAGTAAATACAGTACCTTAGATTTTTAACTCTTTTTCTTTAAGAAGCTTGCCTCATAGTAGTATTTTTTACCTCCTCACCTCCCAGTGCATTATTGTTTATCTTTTGGTGTTTAAATCCCAGATCTTAATATTTTTTTTTTCTTTTTTCCTCCCCCCACCTCTTAATCTTTTTTGCTAGAATAGACCCTGGACCATATAATCTCTTAAATTTCAACTTTCTCATTTTAAAAAGGAGATAATACTGAATTGATAGGTTTGTTGGAAAGTTTAAAAAGGATAATGAGTATAAAACAGTTTTATTTTGTACTTAACACACTTACTCAGTTGCTCAATAAACTTAGGATATTATTGATTGCAATACAGATATGTAAACACTACCCAGGACCTGGAAACTCACTTTTGGTTGTCATTTGTGACTGCTGTTTTTGAGCATATGTTTTCTACCTATCCCGCTTTAGCTTTTTTATTCCTAAAACAACCACACATCTGTGATTTGCATATTCTTAGCTAATCCATACAGCTAAGAATACACAGCAGGTTCTCAATAATGTAGTTTCATTCAACATCATTTCATTATAATGCTGATGAGAAAAAAAAAACCAATCCTGGCAGACTTAGAATGAAACAACATTGAGGATCTTCTTTCATTATACTTTGTTTTGTTTCCTAGAACCTATTGACCACCGAAAGGACTGACTATACATAGGTCTGAAACAAAGTCGTGACATTTAGAATTGGATGTCCAGTTTTATTTACATATTAATAACTTAGTGTTTTCCCCCCACTTTTCTTAGTATTCTCTATTCTATTGCACTTGAGATTTCTGGTCACTTGCCCTTCACGCACCCTGCTTAGACAGGAAGCAGAATTGCAGTTATGATTGGCAATTCAGCACCATTGTGTAACTTAATCGTAAATCAATCCAGACAATGATATCTGGTGACTAAATGATTCTGATAAGTATTTGTCATGTTTTTTAGAGGGCCCGATGATGTAAAGCTCACTGCCAAATTGGATTCTGCTATCTTCTTGAAGGATGTGCCAACTTTGTTTTGGCCATCTACTTTCTTTTCATTAACCACTGAAACGTGAGTATTGAGGCTGATGGCACCCTGACAAATTTCATGACCGTTCAGACTCTGGCTGTGTGTGCATATGATATTTTTTTAAGCCTACCCAATATGGCCTTTTGACTGCCTTATGTTAATCTATTGATCCTATAGTGTGGTCTGGGCCTTCTCATGAGCACTTAACATAGCACTGACTATGTTGGAAATATTTTATACTATATTAACTGTTAAATCTTCACAAAACTCTCATGAGATACATACACTTACCCCATTTTGGGAATAAGGAAGCTAAGGCATTGGGAAGTTATGAACCTTCCCAAGGTCACACCCCCAGTGAGGGGAAGAGTTGGGGTTTACATTCAGGCAGTATCGCTCCAGTGCCCATGCTCTTGATCACACCTAAGTTTCAACAGATAGGGAGATGATCAGTGCATGGTACCCTAAGAATTACATTTTTGTGTGTGACCTGCTGTTTTTGTTTTGTTTTTGCAATGCTGTTTCCTAACCTCTTGGAGTCTCCAGTGTCACCCAGGAGAGAGGACTGGAATTCTTGGCATTTTTTCCAAGCTACCCAACCTCTCAATTCTAAAACTGAGATGGCTTGGTACTCAGTAGTGCATTGTTTCTTGGTGGCAGTGAAAAGTGCACCAGACTTTGGAAACAGCTTAACCCGAGTTTAAATGCTGCCATCCACCCATTCAATAAATACCCAGTAAAAATCCACTGAACTCCTGAATGTCAAATTCCAGGATTTGTATTAGGTGCTGAAGATACAGTAAACAAAACAATTCCTTGCTGTCATAGAGCTTAATCAACTAAATGAAAACAAAAAATAGTGAAGATTACGAGGTGGTAAATGCTAAAGAGAAGTATAAGCACAATGACTAAGGGGAAGCTTCATTTCAGAAATATGGTTAGGGAAGTTCTCTAATAAGGGAACATTTGAGCAAATATGAAGTGAAGAAGTTTCAAGTGTGCAGCCAGCTCATGAAAGTGTTCTAGGTAAAAGGCCCTGGTGACAGCATGATTGTCCTGTAGACAATCTGCAAGCAGGGCAGTGTTCAGTGACATTAAAACACAATGGGAGGGGCCTCCCTGGTTGCACAAGGGGTTAAGACCCAGCACTATGAAGCTGTCACAGCCTCTGCAGCACGAGTTCTAACCTCCACTTGGGAGGTGACCTACATGGTGAGGCAGACCTCTCCTGCCTCCCCCCCTCCCCCCGCTGCTCCCCTCAGCAGTGTATTTCAGTCAGTCTGCCTGTTCTGCTCCCCACTCTCTCTGGTGAATCCTCTCACCCCCTGCACCTCTGGCCCGTACCCCAGTTCTTGTATGCATAAATAAATAAATCTTAAAAAAAAAAAAAAAAGCCACTATGGGAGGGGAAAATAGGAAACAGGATGACAGGATGGAGTGGGTGGCCGTAGGTCCAGAAGGTGCAGCTCTATTTTGCAGCGCCTTACAGGTCAGACGCACGCTTCTGAGCGAGTCAGGACGCCAGGCTGCGTGTCCTTGGCCGCTGACATCTAGGTAATGCCTTCGAAGTCTTCGTTTTCCCCATCCTCAAGATGGGCTGCAAAGATGTGCGTTCAGAGATCATGCCGAACTATATTTGAAAGAAACCACTTAAATCAATGCGTCAGTCCATCACCGAGATAATCCATTGCTCGCATCTCCTCCCTGCCTTGGACAGGCTGCAGCACGTCTTGCTGCTTAGACTAAAATCCCATAAACGAGGATTAGGGGGATTATGTTCCTCAGGCCCGGGAATGCGGTTCTGGGGAGCGGAAAGGAGGTTCAGAGGAGAATTCGTTCAGTCTTGGAAGACGTGGGGCTGAGGGTCGCGCGTCCCCGCCCGCCGGCTGCAGCGGCGCGGAACCCGCTTCCCCAGGGTCCGCCGCAGCGGCGCGGGGTGGGGCGGGCGGCGGCCACTGCGGGCTCCGCGCCGGCCGCCTCCAAGTCCCGGCAGGCCGCGGGGCGGGGGCGCGCCGGGACTCCACTTCCCAGCGTGCCCCGGGGCCGGGCCGGGACGTGCCGGCGCCTATAAGAGCCAGCGCGCTGCGGCCGGAGCCTATTGTTAGCCGGAGCCGGGGCGGTTCTGGGCGGCTGCTGCCGGGGGCGCCCGCGTTGCCGGAGCCGCCCGCCCTCCGCCTCCTGCCGGCGGGCCTCCCGCCCGTCCTCCTCCGGCCGCGCGCCCCGGGAAGCGCCGGCCGCCGGGGGCCGGCCGCGCTCTCTGCCCGCGGAGCCCGGGCCGGCGGCGGGCGGGGGCGGCGACCACCGAGGAGGCTGCCGCGGCGGGGCGGGTAATGGGCCCGGGGTGCGGGCGCGGGGCCGCCGCGTCCCGTCGCGGGGGCGCCCGGCCGGGCGGGGTGGGCGGCGGGGCTGGCGGCGCAGGGCCGGGGCGCGGGCGGGCGGGCGGGCGGGCGGGCGGGGGCGCCCGCGGGAGCGGGGGGCGCGCGGGCCGGGGCGGCTCGGGGGACCCGGTGCGGGCCGGGGGGGCAGGACCGCGGCGGGCCCGGCCGGGGCGGCTCGGGGCTGCCGGGATGGGGGGCGCGGGGAGGGGCGGGAGCGGGGAAGAGGTGGGGGGCGAGGAGGGGTGGATGGCGGGGCGCAGGCCGGGGGCGGACGGCCGTGCAGGGGCTGCCGCCGGCGCGGAGAGCCCGGAGGCCGCGGGACCCCGCCGGGGCTCGGCCGGCGCCCTGCAGGGGAGCCGCTGCCTTGACACGGCCCTGCGGCCCCGGCCCCGGGTGTCTCCCGTTTTTTCTGGGGCTGTGTGGGAAAGCGAAAGCAGCGCTGGCCCTGCCTGCGAGCTTCATCTTTTTTTCCCCCAGGCTCAAGCACGCAGCCGACTGCCCCGCATCCCTTCTCGTGCCGCGGTCTGGAACCTGCTTTTAAAGGTGTCCGAGTGGCAGGGGGATGCCCAGACCGTTCTTCAGTAGGAAATGTTAGAAGTTGTCCCCAAGAGACACAGCGTCCCCTTGTACTGTAGTTTTTAGTTCAAGGTAAATTGGTAGTGGATTCAGACTTTCCTTTTCTTGACTGACTTTCCATCTTGCAAATCTCCAAAGCCAGGAAGATGTGGTTGGTGTGTGCCAGAGTTATAAATGACTTAATATCCTTGAGAGTTAATGGTTCCTGCAGCATCATGTTCCAGTTCTCTCACAGAGATCTGATGCCCTCCATGCTCTGGTGGTTTAGGCTTGGAAAGCAAATTCTAACCTTGTGTCAGTGAAAGGATAAAAATCAGGGACTGCGGGATGGAGAGGGGCCTTCTTGAAAGACCTGGTTTAATCAGGACATTTTCATTTGCGCCCTGTATAGTGAGTTCATGTGCTGGAAATCACAAGGACACGTGGATCTGCAAAATTCATAGTATTTGAGAACCAACTACAGTATCTCGTAAAGGGAGAAAAAACCCAGGTCACCTTATTCAGGTTTATCATAACACTTAGCAGCAAGCCTGCCTTCCTCTGACCCAGCTACAGATGGTCATCCTGATGATCTTAACTAGGGACTTAGGTCCCTTGACCTTTCACAGAAGGTTGTGTTTAAGTCAAGTGGAGAGGCTTGTGCCTTGTCTTCTTATTTCGGACACATTTAAGAGAGAAGCTTTCATCACCTAACTTTGCAAATACATTCTGCAATCACAAATGTTTTTCTGGGCAGTCCCTTTTGCTAGTCTCACCTATGTTGTTTGTTGTTTTTTGGAGGGATTGTTATAGGAATCCTCCGAGGCCTGAGAGGCCTTCTTGGATCTGTGCTAGAATACACGCATGCTCTAGATCTGCTTTATTTGGTGCTAGCCTAACCTAGGTACTGTGGACCTGAATTATTGCATATACCTTTGGGAACTGTTCACCTCGAAACACTTGAGAAAAGGTGGTAAGGCATGTAGCCAGGAGGTATCAGCTGACCTTTCATTTTACTCGCATTTAAATGCTTTTATAGAGGTTGGCATTATTTTCTCTAAAAGCATTTGCTGTTTGAGTTGGTCATGTTGACAGTTAACTGTCAGTTATGACCTGCATTTCCAGTCTCACCTTGATTATTTCAGAATAGCTTTAAGGCTTGGATTATAAGTGCTTCTCTTGAACTTAGGCATTGATCCTTGGCCGATGTACAGTTGAGAGAGGTAGGAATGACTGATTTCTAATTGTGGTTTGAAAGGAGGTTGGTTGATAAGACGGGAAATGTGGAACCTATTTTAGTTGTTGCTGTTGTAAAGAAAGATCTCTGCAGGCCACTGTGGCATGGATGTGTGATTCATTCTTGGTGCCTGGTGAACTTCTTTAACAAGTTAATTTCATACTGGAGCACTGGGTAAGGACAAGGTTGAAATTTAAACTTACATTGGTTGTCAGGGCATAATAGATGGATTTATTTTTTTTTAATAATGGAGTTAATGTCAGAGATGGTGGTGCTAACAGATCCTGGGGAGGGTGAAGAGAGCTAAGTCGATGAGCACATTATTTGCACATAGAGCCACAGATGCAGACTATTCTCAGGCATTATAAGGAAAATATTTTTCTCCAAGGTTTCACTTTTTTCCTATGCTTTCTTTTATTCTTACCGCCTATCACTCCCCAGAAGCCATTATTTCAAAAGTGGAAGTGGGAAAGAGAAAAAAGGGTGAAGGAGAATGGAGCAAGCAGCCAGCCAGCCTTGCTGCATCAGAGTTCACAGAGAGTAACCTGAAGAGAAATGATACCCCTGAGGGCAACTTGGGTAAAAGAATAGAGAATTTTAATAAGAAAGATGATTTTGGACCAGAGCCAACCTCTTGCAGGGCTTAACGAGAAATAGTCAGAGGAAACCCACGCCGCCACCGGAAGCAAAGGGACACCTGAGGAGAGACGGGGGAATACACATTTCTTTGCTGGTCATCGTAAATCCCTGAGTGCTTCCAGGCGGAGGAAAAACCCTTTTCCTAGAGGCAACACTAACTGGATCTCACTTAAAACTGAAGCTGCACATAAGCCCTTCTCATCTGAAAAAGCAGATTTTTAGTTCAGTGTGATTTTTCATGTGAGTGGTAATTTTTGTAGGCGGAAAGGAGAAGTTATTCAGTGGTCAGCATGACCCTGTTATTTTTTATCTTACCCACATAGGTACTGAACTGTAAGTACATAAGCACTCCCCAGTGATACAACGGGATGGGAACTTTGTTAGCTAGTAGGTATCTTTAAACCCAGCTGAAATTGTAACTCCTAAGTCCATGGCTTTCTCCATTCTTATCATGTCCTGGGAATGTGACCTCTGATGGTAAGATCAGTAACCTGAAGAACAGAATTGATACTTAGGGCTCATTTTTAAATTTAATTACAATTCTTATCAAATACTTTATTTACTTCAGCAATGTGCTTGCCTGAGCTCTGTGATGGCTGAGGTTTCTTAGGTACATCTCATGACTTGAATGTACACTTTTGATGAGATCTGGAGAGATTAGGAAATATCTTCTCGAAAGTACTTATTAGGTCTGGTTGACTATGTAGAGCTGATCCAAGGCAGGCAAATTGCTAAGAGACACAGTCCAGAAACAGTTCTGAAGCAGGCACTTCTTGACACCCAGTGTATTCTGGGTGTCTGTGCTGCAGTAATGCAGCCCTGTCTTTCTGGGCAGTGTTATTCCTGCTGCATAATTAGCAACTAGTGAGATCACAGTCTGGAGAGATTCTGGCGAGGCTTCCTATCATCACATGTGGCTCGGCTCTGACAGCGTTTCTGCTGAGCAGATTCATATCCTTGGGGGGCTTCAACCCAAAGACAGAGAAGGAGAAAGATTTGTATCTGGGGAATGGACCATCTCAGACTTCTTGGTGTGTGACAGCATGCTGAAAACATTGTCTGCCATATTGATGTAACCACAGTAGCTTGGCACTTCTTATGGTTTGTTTTCCCCCTGCTGGTTTCTTTACAGGGGGCACTAAGATTGTAAAGCTAACTTCTCCTCACACAGAGAATGTGGATAGATAGTTGAGTCCTATTTTATGGAACAGTATGAGATTGGGAAAGATTCTGCATTTTGAAACCAGTGCAGATTCTAATCTACACTCCATTCTTTCAAACCAAATTTGACCTTTTTAGGAGCCTGGCGAGCCACTTTATACTTGTGAAGAGCTGGATAAAAGGTTCTCTGGCCTCCAGTGTACTTTGAAATTGAGAGCCTAGAGCAGTATTTTCCAAAGTGTTTCCCGAGGAGGATCACTTGCCCCCTCAGATACCCTGGGAGCTGCAGGGTTCCATAATCAGGGGTGTGAAACTGCATACCGCTTTCTGCCACTGTTCACCGTGCTCATTAGCATATTAAAAGCCTCTGAGAGGTCCTCCCATAGCAGTTTTCTGAACTATTTTCACACAGCAGTCCTATTTCCAAGTAAAAGCTATTAATATCCATGGAACTAGTTTATTTAATAGATACACTTTGGGAAATGCTAGCTGTATTTTCACTAGGAAAAATAATTAGATCTAGTCTAGGCTTAGGTACAGGCTAATTCTGCCTTTGATCCCCAGTCCATCCTGCTGGCCCCTTGGAAAGCTTTTCTATGGGATCAGGAGAGCAGCTACTGTTCTCCCCGGGCTAATGAAGCCCAGAGCCCAGCTGGCGTGGAACCAAAGGCCTTCACTCCACGGGGAAAGGTGCTGCTGCTTCTCAGCTCATTATTCTAAGAGTCGCTGATATTAGCGGGGCAGAGGGGAACCGAAAGTAGGAGAATGTTGGCTGGATAAGTAGAGAGGTGACCTCTCCGGAGACCAGACATCATGGCTAGCTCAGGCGCTTGCTTCCTCCATTTGGAGAGTTCTGTGTGTACCGGCTTGGCGAAGGCTGTCTTTGCAAAGGATGCTGATTCCTCTTCTCCTCCAGGCAGAATCCTCATGCACCTGGCTAGCTGGTGGTGAGCAGGGCCGTCGGAGCCAACTTGGTGGGCTCCCCAAAGGAATCCCTTTGAAACCAATGGATGCGTTCACGGTCTCGGGTCTCAAGAGAAAGTTTGATGATGTGGATGTGGGCTCATCAGTTTCCAACTCAGACGATGAGATCTCTAGCAGTGACAGTGCTGACAGCTGCGACAGCCTCAATCCTCCGACAACTGCTAGCTTCACACGTGAGTGAGCTGTTCCCTCCTTGTCTGCACCCACAACCCCAAGTGTCAGAGCCTCTTCTACCCAGTTTGGGGATTTGCCCTTAATCATGATCTTTCCCACTCAGTTCAACCTTGTTCTCGGGAGGACCTTACTGCTTTAATATCATAGACTTAAATCTGATTTATTCCAGCTGATTTTACTGATGCTGTGCTTTGTGGGTCCCCAGGATGAATTGAATTAAATTATTATACAAGGAATTCAAGATTCTTTCCTTTCCCACCAGAGTGCTATAGAGTTCCATGAAATGATAACTCTGGTAGGACATAAATGCTTCCTGCCCGGACAAATGGGCAACCCTGGCTAGCTTGATTGTTATGGCTCAATTAGTTCTTGGAAAGAACTTCTGATACTGTGCATCAGGGGTTGCCTGTGGGTCAGATCTAGCCTGCTGTAACGTCTTACTGGAACATGGCCACGTTCATTGTCTGTATTACTTTTGTGCTGTGATGGCAGAGTCATGTAGTTGAACAGAGACTCTTGGCTTGCAACACCGAAAATATTTACTCTTAGCCTTTTGTGGAAGTTGTTTACCATTCCCTGCTATCGTGCTGTCTAATGGAATTTTGTTATGTCGGAAATGTTATATCTGCACTGGCCACTACGGTAGCCACGTGTGACTTTTGAGCACTAGAAATGTCATTAGTGTAACTGAGGGAATTAATTTTAAATTTTATTTCATTTTAATTAACATAGATTAAATAGTCACACGTGGCTAACAGCTGTTATATTGAACCGGGAAGCTGTATATTATTAACTTCCAAAAAGATTACCTAGAGCTTCTCTTCCCAGCTGAAGTCTAAAGATAGATTTTGGGGTCATCTGTTTAGGTAACCCCAGTCTGGAGGCAGTGGAATGGAGCTGCTGCTGCTCAAGATCCCTGCCAACTGTGCTTTATGATTTGAAAGTGAGAGTTGTCTGTAGGTAGAAGGGTCCTGTCGAGAGCCTCAATGGATGAGAAGGAATAAGGTCTCCAAACCAGCCATCTCTGGGTTAATAAAACTGCTCTGTGCTTCCTTCTCAGCTACTTCCATCCTGAAACGGCAGAAGCAGCTCCGGAGGAAGAGTGTACGCTTTGACCAGGTGACGGTGTACTACTTTGCCCGGCGTCAGGGTTTCACCAGTGTGCCCAGCCAGGGTGGCAGCTCTCTGGGCATGGCCCAGCGCCATAACTCCGTACGAAGCTACACACTCTGTGAGTTTGCTCAAGAGCAGGAGGTGAACCATCGGGAGATTCTTCGTGAGCACCTGAAGGAGGAGAAACTTCATGCCAAGAAGATGAAGGTACCTAAGGGGTAGGGGTCTGGGCTGGCACTTCCTGTGTGCCAGAATAAAGTGGGAAACCATCTAGGTCCATTGACTCTTTTTTTTTTTTTTTTTTAATTTGACTGTTGTCCTTGGTGTGCAGAGACTTCAAATCTTTCTAATGAGAAGTCTCAGGATGAAACCCTTCTTACTGTCTCTGGTGGGGAGTCTGCCAGAGATAGCAAAATGACTTCCTAAAATTCCTTCCCTCCTCAACAATTATTTTTTTTTATATATATAATTTTTTTTTTTTAATAGAGGCATGTTTTATTTATTTATTTGTTTGTTTGTTTGTTTTGTTTATACATGCACTGGGTACAGTCAGAAGCACGGGAGGGTGAGAGAATTCACCAGAGCCAGAGCGGGGAGCAGAGCAGGCAGAAGGACCGAAGTACACTGCTGAGGGGAGCAGCGGGCGGCAGGAGAGGTCTGCGTGCCATGGGGGACCCTCCTCCGGTGGCCGGGTTGCAGCTGGGGATCGAACCGGTGCTGCAGAGGCCGTGGGCAGCTTCGCAACCCAGTGCTCAACCGCTGCGCCACCGGGGAGGCCCAACAATTATTTTTAAACTTTAAAATGTGAATACTTCAAGTCTGCCATTGCTGTAACTCGGGGAAGCCACAAGTTTCCGTTTCTTATCAAATGATTGTCCTTTGCCCTAATGTACAAAACAGGTGAAGATCTTTTACATTCTCTGAAAGGATCCCATCGTCTCTATGACCCCCGTCACCTTTAGGTGATAGTCTTCTGGGTGTGAGCACAGCATTGCCAAATAGTTACTTTGATTTGTAGAGTCTGGGTCCTGTCATTTGACGCAGCACCAGCTCTTCGTGTTAGGAGACGGCTGGAGGAGGACCCATCTCCATGGCTCGTGGAGCTGCCCATTTGATCTTGGTACTGTTTGGCACCCACAGCCGCCGGCTCACAGAAATTCTCCCCAGAGTTTCTGGCTCCAAACTTGGGTGAACACTGCATTAGGCCAGGTCAGGGTTCTTCAGGGTCCAGAGCATGCTGACCCATATTAAAACAAGTGGCTGCATTATTTCTAAGGGTTGTGGGTGAAATTCTAATGAGAGCAGAATGGGGGAGGGTTGGCGAGCTGGCGGCAGAGGATGTAGGCTGTCTGGATCTCATTGCTCCTCCTGTGGAGAGCCCCGCGTCCACTTTCCTCAGCCTCTCCTAAAGCCCGACACCTGTTTTAGCAACTAGACTGACATTCAGGCTTCCGTTTCTTCTCAGGAATTCCATCACTGACCTTGTCACCTTTGTGTTGCTCTGGCAACAGGTGGCAAGTAAACACTCATCACTTGAAGGAAGGCTTACTTTTCTTCCTTTTCCCTAGAAGAACCTCTCTCCATATGGTAGAGGAATGAGCTGTCAAAGCAGGAAAAGCACTCTGTTCTGTGGCCTCCCTCGCGGTCCAGGGACAAAGCCAGGCAAACTTAAGCCTGAGCTGTAGGATTCCTACTTAGGAGCAGATTCAGGGAGCAGCAGCAATGGTGACATCTAGTACATCTTGCTCTGCCAATAGAAAACTTACTTTGCCCTCCTTAGGTGCACATTAGACATTGGATTTTTTCCCCTGTCATTAGCACTCTACAGGGGAGGCAGTAGGTTTCAGCTCTGTGTATTTTACATCTCCCATATGCCATCTAATTTCCTTTTGGACTGCCATCAAAAAAGAAAAAATGGTGCTGGAGCTCTGCAATTTTCATGACCCATAGCTTTTCTAATACTCTTACTTTCTTTTGTTTTACTTTACAGCCTTTATCCTTATGGAATTTATCATTATGAATCACATGAGTTGGGAAGCTAATCTTAATTATTTTCAAAAGAACCACCAGTTGTCCCAGTACTATTAATGACTAGAGACTCTTTCTCACTAATTTGAAATGCCACCTCTATTATGACATAGCAAATTCTCACCAACATGGGTTTCTTTCTGTTGCATTTCTAATTTTTCCTTTGAGATATTGGTGGGAGGGTGATTAAGAGAGAGCCGCCCCTGGTGAAATAGACAGGCATAATCTGAGGGCCTGTGGAAAGGCCTCTTACTGTTGGCCTCCCTGATACAGGTATAACCTATACCAGAAGTATAGGTGAGGCAACCCCAGAACCCCCACTTTATTTCTCTCATGTTTCTGCCATCTCCCCGCAAACAAAAAACCAGGTGTGTAACTTCTTACCCAGGTCTGTTACATCACACCTCCCACAGGGGTTGTTCCTGTACCAGCACTGCTCTGGCCGTCTGATGAAATAAGCTACACTCTCCAGTATCTTAGCTTCCACCTGCTAGTTGCTTCCAGAGCCCCAGAGGTTACTAACAAAGCTTCATTTTTTTACTTGAATTCTCCAGTGAGTTTGCAAAACTCATCCAGCCCCAGGTTGTCTTCAGCTGTTCTTCCACTATGATGCCCTTCCCGGCTTTCTGTTCTTTCCAGGGCAGAGGACCCAGCGTTCTGCCTGTGGATAGTACACACAGTGTCCTCTATGCCATCCTACCTAACGTACTACTCTTTTTTGATATTAAAAAAAGGCATTAGAAAGGAGAATGCGTTTAGGTTGGAATTGAGAGCTTTCTTGTATAGCTATTACTAATTGCCTCATTTTTTCCCTCCCAATGAAGTGAAGCCTTATTTGTATGCATAGATAACTGTTTGCACTGTGCAGATTCAGATCCACTGACAGAGACCTGGTAGCCTTGAACAACACTTTATTTTTTTCAAAGATTTATTTATGCATAAAAGAGCTGGAATACAGTCCAGAGATGCAGGGGGTGAGAGGATTCACCAGAGACAGAGTGGAGAACAGAATAGGCAGACTGACTGAAATACGCTGCTGAGGGGAGCAGCAGGCGAGTCAGGAGAGGTCTGCTGCGCCATGTGGGTAGCTCCCTGGCAGGGGATCGAACTCATGCTGCAGAGGCTGCAGATTGCTTCATAGTTGCGTGCTTAACCCCTTGCAACACCAGGGAAGCCCCACCTTGAACAACACTTTACTTTTCTTCTAAGAAAGGTGGTTTTGAGTCCTTTTGGCAAATTAAAGGGTGTTTTGCAAGGTTATTTATATGTCCAAGGAACATCTAGCTATTGATAGATGCCTTTCTCCCACCTTCCTATTTGTGGGAAAAATTATCTCCTAGGAGATAGCTGAATTGGGCTTCAGATACTTAGATCTGGAAAAGTGGTGTCCCGTGTCTTGACAGGGTGTTGGTAGAACTGGGTGAGGTTCCTCCTTGTCTACCTGCTCTAGGTTTACTTGCTTGACCTAAACTACCCGGCATGGTAGCCACTTGCCACATGTGGCTGTTTGTACTGCATGAAAATTAAAACCTCAGTTCCTCACTCGCACTTGCCACGTTTACAGTGCCCGGTGGTCTCATGTGCTGGTGGCTTCACAGGTGCTTCACAGCTGCCTCCAGCTCAAGCAGGCCAGGCGGCCTGAGCTGCTCCTGTGAGGAGCCCCACGCTGCCGGAGCTCGTGAGGCTAACCTTGCCTGTCTCTTGGCAGCTCACCAAGAACGGGACAGTGGAGTCCGTGGAGGCCGATGGCCTGACGCTGGATGATGTTTCAGACGAAGACATTGATGTGGAAAATGTGGAAGTGGATGATTACTTCTTCCTGCAGCCTCTGCCCACCAAACGGCGACGGGCCCTGCTGAGGGCTTCTGGGGTGCACCGCATTGATGCTGAAGAGAAGCAAGAGCTGCGAGCCATCCGCCTGTCCCGGGAAGAGTGTGGCTGTGACTGTCGACTGTATTGTGATCCAGAAGCATGTGCCTGTAGCCAGGCGGGGATTAAATGCCAGGTCGGTCCACACTGTCCTGAGACGGGAAGTCAGTAGAGTCTGGGAGATGTGTGGGTACCAGTGGAGATGGGAGGATGCCCTCCATGGGTGGGTTCCCCATGATTGAGTCCTCCCCAGCGTACAGCCCTCCTCTAGCCAAGAAAACAAGAATGGCAGGATTCGTGGGCTGTGTTTCACAGCTCAGAGGGGTAACAAATAGCAGTCAGCAAACAGAGGAAGGGGTGTTAGTAAGTTTAACTTTTAATAGCTGTTCCTTAACTACCGATCCCTTGAACTAAAAGGAAGCAGAGAAATAAGAGAGGCCTTTAGATTTTTATCTTGCAAATATTTATTTGCAAGTACCTTCACTCCAGTTTGTCAAAGTCAAAATACTTCTGGGATCCCATCAGTCAGAATCAGACCTGGCAGAGCTTAAATCCATGTGTCCTGGAGGTAGAAAGCCTCATCCCCTGGCTGTTCTGACAAGGGGCAGTTGTAAGAGACGTCACAAGTGAATATAGCAGAACCATCCCAAAGAATGACCTTTATCTGGAATTTTGTATGCTAAGAATGTGGGTGCCGAGTCTTTGTGCTTGAATTTATCCTGACCAAATGTCTTAATTTTAGGTTAGTAACAAATAGCTCTATCAGATCTGGCCAAATAATTGTTTTTCAGATTGAAGTCCCATAATGAATCAGTCTGTTACACACAAACCTAAGAACAGTCTGTTCTCTAGACTGTTCTGAAGAACTAGAATGGAGACTTCCATAAGTTGGCATCATAGGAAAACATTGTGTGTTTGTACATACTATTTGCTTGCTTGGGTTTTTAATGTAAATTTTCAATTTTGGTATGTGTGGCTGTTTTTCCCCTTTGGGGAACCAGAAGAGAAATAAGGAGGGAGAAAGTGTCCTTTCCGGAGACTCCCTGGTCTGTGCATTATCTTGGTAACTGCTTCAGAAACAGACTGGTCAACCGTCAGGGAAAAATAAAGCAGGTAGTGAAAAACTGACTGTTACTTTGAACCCCCATTTTAGCTTGCTCAGAATGCATTGCTCTGGCCTCGCTGGGTCTTTTCCTCCCCCCCTGCCTGTCACCGCAGGAGGCAGCAGGCTTGGACCCTAGCTTTTTTGTTTTGCCGATATGCCTGGCAAATTCTTCAAAGTCTCTGAAGCACAGAGGTATTTCTAAACTTTTTAACTGGAAGGACTCTTTGACGTTGTTTTTACTCATATTTTGTTGAGAAAACACTGCCCTAGAGACGTAAATGACTTCCCGGAAGTTACACTACCTCATGGCTCTGCTGGGACTGGAACGCCAGTGGTCTGATAACTACCGTCTTGCACCTCTTAGCTCACACTGCATGTTTTGTTTTGATTTGTTTCTCTTGTAAAATCTCAAATCCCAGCTGCCTGTGTTTGCCAGCAACTAAGTCTCCCAGCTGCAGTGTTAAATCTGTTGGTCTCATCTCGACCCTGTCGCTGCCCTTCTCAGGTGGATCGCATGTCCTTTCCATGTGGCTGCTCCCGGGATGGCTGTGGGAACATGGCTGGACGCATTGAATTCAACCCCATCCGGGTCCGGACTCATTACCTCCACACCATCATGAAGCTGGAGCTGGAGAGCAAGCGGCAGGGGAGCCGCCTGCCAGCCCCCGATGAGGAGCCCTCGCCTGCTGCCAGTTGCAGCCTGTCAGGCGCGCAAGGCTCTGAGACGCAGGACTTCCAGGAGTTCATTGCTGAGAACGAGACGGCAGTGATGCACCTGCAGAGTGCAGAGGAACTAGAGCGGCTTAAGGCAGAGGAAGACTCGAGTGGCTCCAGCGCCAGCCTGGACTCCAGCATCGAAAGCCTTGGGGTGTGCATCCTGGAGGAGCCCCTGGCCGTTCCAGAAGAGCTGTGCCCAGGCCTTCCAGCCCCCATTCTCATCCAGGCCCAGCTGCCCCCGGGCTCCTCTGTCCTCTGTTTTGCCGAGAACTCGGACCACGCAGCCGCCTCAGCAGTGAACAACCCCTCTTACTTGAACAGTGGGCCCCTGGTCTATTATCAGGTGGAGCAGAGGCCGGTTTTGGGGGTGAAAGGAGAGTCTAGTACAGAAGAGGTCCCATCCTCTTTCTCCAAGGAGAAGGATCTGAATGTCTTCTCTCTCCCTGTTACCTCACTGGTGGCTTGTAGCCCCACAGACCCAGCTGCCCTCTGTAAATCAGAGGTGGGGAAAACCTCCACTCTAGAAGCGCTAGTGCCCGAAGATTGTAACCCTGAGGAGCCTGAGAGTGAAGACTTCTGCCCCTCTTGGACCCCCTCGAACCTCCCCTTCTGCACGGACGGTGAAGAGGGCTGTGTGGCAGAGAAGACGTCGCAGCAGAGTGAGGACCGGCCCTCCGAAGAGTCTTCCCTTGAGCTCCCTCTGGCAGTGTGAAATGGGGTTGGAGGTTCTGCCTCTTACCCACTCTATTTATTCCCTTATTTTATCTAACACTATTTCAGAACGGAACTGTAGAAGCACCTGCTGCTCCCATGTTATTTTATTGGGGTCTTTGGTGTGGGAAAGGATTGTTTGTACAAGTTATTTTTAAAAGGGAAACAGAACCAAGGAGACCAGTCCCAACTTGATCTGGAGATAGTCTCGGGGCAGAGAAGGCTGCATAGTGCCGATCCTGAGCTTTCTGGGCCATCGGAACAAAGAACTAGAATCTCAGAGGAGCTGGGTAATTCAAGCAGTTATTTTTTATGTAGGGACCAGAACAGAATACGTGAGGAGCACAGCCAAACTCCTTTTCTGAGCTCCAGAGGTACACGCTTGCTTTTCTTGGTGGTTATGCTGATAGCCCATGTTGATGTATCAGTGCTACAGTGGAGATGTCACCTGATCAGATCTATAGAGGAGAGGGTAGAAGAGTCTCTGCTGCTGTACAGAACCTCCAGGATTTAAAAAATTTTACCTGCTTTCCTTTGGCCACCCTATCTGGTAAATAAGACATGTTTGGTGTTCTCTTCCCCACAATGGGGATTCCTGGTCTGTAACTTGAATTGTTTTTTTCACATGTTCTAGGTACTAGACAGAAACATGTCTATTTGTCTTTTTTTTTTTTTTTCTCCATTTTCCTTTGAAGAAAAGGAGCTAAATTGCTGGGAATGTGTTATAAAGAGTGCAAGTCAGCTGTGTGTGTCCACACTAGCTGTCAGGCAGCTTTAGGCTCGAGCACACAGATCCCTCAGAGGCATATGTGGAGCATTAATCACGTCCAGAAGAGGCAGCAGGGATAGGCTGTTGCCTGGAAAGATGACTTAACTTGGGCCAGGCTTGCTTTCTTACCTAGGTCATTTTTTCCCTCTTCGGGAGATTTGAGCTTTAATGGAATGTAGGATGTGGCAACCTAAGGTCAACAATTCGTTTTTGTCTTTTTTTCCCTGTGTCTGTCCTTGTCCTTGGGTATACCAGATTCGAGTTTTTATACTACTCCAGTTTTCTCTCCAAATTGCAAATGTTTATCAGACCATTTTGCTGATACGTAAAATTTGGAAGGCAAACCAATTCTTAGATGTTCAACTCCAGGTTCCAAAGAATTCAGTTTTCTGACTCTTAACCTTGGAGGATTTTTAGACTGGGACTCAAGTTCAGTTCTTGCCTCTGTAGAGGGCATGTGGTTCCTGTTTCTCTTATGTCCAACTCACGTTCCGGCATCTGCTCCACTTTACACCACTGAATTCTTTATTAGTAAAGTTATCTTTGACTGTTTTGAAATGGAGGCAGCCATTTCAAACACTACTCTCTCGTGTTTCACTATTCCTTCATTTCTGGCATGGTTAATTTATCAGGAAAGAACAAAGTGAAACACTTTCTTGGGGATGGGGGAGATAACTATTCCTACTTACCTTGCGCATAAAGCCTTTTCTTGTGGATGTTAAGACTGTCTTAAAGCAGCCTTCATGTGTCCCAGCAGTGTTTCACCTCAACAATTTCTAAACTGAGCCTGGAAGTTCTCGTACTTAACACAGATAGGTATTTTAGCCCATTCTGTCTTTCCTGTTCATTCCTATTTTTGCTTGGTTTTTACATTTGGAGCAGAGTTTTTAATTAAGGTCCTGAGCTCTCCCCACCCCCTAGCCTCATAAATCAAAGTTGAGAGTCTTAAATACCTGTGTTCCAGATGCTATCCCAAACTGAGCTACAGTTCTCCATCTTAGACCGGTACCCTCAAATATAAGACCGAAGCTGAACTGGGAATTTGACTCTACAGAGAGAAGAATCTTTCTGAAAGTCTGCTTTGGAAGGGAAGGGTCAGCTCTCTACACTCCCTCCTAGGGCGGCACCAACCTAACCTGGGAGGTAGATTCCTGCAGGTCAGTAAGAGACATTAGCCTTTGGGATCAAACAAAAAATTTGAATCTGATTATTAAACTCATTGCCAAGCCCAAGATGTTTTTCTGAAAACTAGTTTCTTAACCTGAGCCCAGTCATTCATTGCCTGCACTTCTGACTCACTGACCCCAAGCTTTAAAATGCTGAATAGTAACATTTAGCATTAATTGTCTTGTCAAGCACAGGCCTTTTCTACAACCTAGTCCATCTCATTTCTGGTGCTACCTGAGTTGGACAGAACGATAACTCATGGTTGCTGGGAAAGCTAGCTTCTGCACACAGAAGCAGATAGCTTCAGTCCCACTCTATAGGCCTAGATAAAAGAAATGACTTATACTGCAACTCATTTTCCAGTCTCCTTTCTCACATACTGTACACAGGTAGTATTTTCAATGTGAATCCAAAGCTTGTCTGGTTTTCTGAAAACAATTTTTGTTTTCCTTTTAGGTCCTACATTGTGATAATGCTGTATTTAAAGAGAATATTTAAATGTAATAATAAAGAAATATTCAAAGGAGTGGTGTATTATACTTTATATTGGCAGGTCACAATCCGGTTACTTGTTAAGAGAAAGGATGCTCCTCCAGCATTGTATATAAAACTAATTACGTCAGTTAGGCATTAAATGGAAACAGGAATGTTTTGTGGTAGGAAAATAGAACATTCTGTTTACAGCATCAAGAGCTTGACTTGGTCACCCTTTATGCCCTTAGCACCTCCTCAGCTGAAGCAGGCGTGGGTCCTGTTCTTAGTCTACAGTCCCTATTCGGGCCCCATTTTATAATCCATTAATTCATATATAAAATCCTTCCTTCCTAGATACCATCTTAAAATCCACCAAGAGGATCAACTTTGAATCACATACTTCCTAACTTCCATCCTATCAGAAGACACTATTCCAGAGTTCTCTCCCCATTAGTAAGGTTAAGTCTTGTAAAAGGAGCCTTAGCAAAATGATTATAGAGTATAAGTAATTTCCAGCAACTGGTTTTAAGCAGTCTTTACTTGGGATTAAAAACAGTGCTTCATGCATTTACAATAAGTTACTACAAGTCACAAATGTACACACACACAAGCTAACCCAACTTACTATCTTGAAGCAGATCTCTCATGGTCTCCCTGGCTGGGCAGTAATTAGTACTTTAAAGGTTTGACCCAAGGCTTAAAGAAGGCAGCCACCATCAGTTACAGTTGTACTGAGGGTAGCAAAGAGTAAGATCCACAGAGGCTGGACCACGGCCCAGAAATTAAGACAAGGCGGGGGTGAAGGCCATGAGTACTGGAAAGGAGTGGAGAAGCAATTGTAGTTTCCCTTTATCTGCCAGAAGTTAACATAGTTAACGTCCTCATAGTTCAGAGGGGCACGAGGGGGAAGAAAGTGTTCAAAGGATTTAAAAAGGAAAGGGTGTGGTTAGTCCGAGGGGACAAAAAAAAAAAAAATCCCTATATTTGGTCATGTTGGAAAGATTGGGGAGGCACTGAAATACATGCATGGATTAAATGACCCAGTTTCCCAGTTTAGTGCTGTTCCCCACACCAGCCAGAGATTGTCTTTAACAAAAATTGTCTTTAACAAGCTGTAAAAAATACGGCAGTGGATGAGTCCTAAGCAAATGAGGATTCCCGCCTGGGGCAGAAACTCACTTCTTGGGACCTGAACTTAAAGCATCACAGTCAAAGCCCAGCAGAGGTTGCTGCCTCTTCCAGCCAGTTCTGAAGGAGCTGGGGTGACACCTCACTTGGGCCACCCCTGGTAAGAGGGTTTGTTTCCATTCCAGCTTCCACACTGTGAAGCCTGAAACACCTGCTCCTCTGCCTCCCACACGCCTAACAGTACACACAGACTCTGCTGGCAAGTGCTGTTTGGTCCCACGCTGCTGTACTATGTGACTGCAGGACAATGTCATCTGCTCCATGTTCACTCAGCGCCTTGTCCCAAGGTAGTTGGTGGAAAGCAGGACCACGTTGTGCAGCAGGAGGGACAGCTCTGCTTCTGAAGACACCATCAGTGTTAATGTCTTGGCCAAGGAATAGTTCGCCTTCTAACTGCCTTGGTATACTGGGCTTGATACCAGAGGTTGAAGCCAGTGCAGGGAGGTATGACATTAGAGGTATGACAAAGCAGTGCCCTGTGTACCCTGCTTTGTTCCAGCCCATATTCTCCTTCCCTTCTACTATATATTCATATCTACTCATCCATATTCTTGAGTCTCATGTGATGGCAAGAGAAAATTCAAAGATGGTAATGATGGTTTAAATACCATTGTCTCCCTTGGGATTCTTCTGGCAGAAGTTGGTGCTCTCGGGACATTTCTCAGCTCCAAGGAGATTAGTAAGGTTACCCTGATAGTCAAAGGCTCAGAAAACATCAAAGTCTAGCCAACCAAGGTCTCCAAACAAGAGATCCACAGGCCTAGTACTCACTCTCGGATACTTTTTTATTTGGCCAAATGAGAGTTTCTGGTCTCAACTGGGACAGTTCTGCTCCCACCTCACCCACGGACATGTGGCAATGTCTGAAGGCATTTTTGGTGTCAGAAAAGGGTGCCACTGGCATCTAGATGGTAGAGGCCAGGGACACTGCTAAGCATCCTATGATGCACAGGATCACCTCCCACACAGCATCAATAATACTGGGGTGGAGAAATTGCTTCCTTACCTGCTTCCACAATCACTACTACTACACCTGCCTAGCCACTGCAATCAACTCCAAAATAATCTAAGAATCACTTACAATAATGACTTGGGTTTAGGTAGCTTAACTGTAGGAATCTGTCTTACCTTTCAAGCTGCAGGAAATTTGCAGCCATTCTCCCAGCCAGGTTCGACACCGCTCTTCAGCAATATGGGTGGAGTTCAGGCCACGAAGATAACAAGCCTATGCGCTCAGAAGAGAAATGGCCAGTAATAGTCACAAAGTGAGGATTCCAAGGAAGGGAAAACCCACAAGGAATCCAATCCCTTTACATAAGTCGCAACTCATCCTTCAAGCAACCTTTCACCATCATAATTTGAACTAGAATGGACAAGAAGAAAGCAAAGAGCCCTGGATGATCTAAAACAAGTGGTCTAAAGTATATTGTTGGTTATTTGAAGAGCCAGTTGAAAGGAAATAAAAGTCAAATTATTATGGGCAGTTCCTCCTTACTACTGAAGCTCACTGAGGAAAAAAGACAGGTCCTATTCTGCAGTGAGAGGACACAGAGGTTGGGTGTTGCTATAATGAGCATGACCGTTGCTCTCTGTAAGCTCCTGAGCCCCTGCGAACTCAAAGGCCCAGCAAGAGTTGCTTCCACCTCTTACCGATTTCACTTCCTGAGCAGTCAGCTGGCCAATCCCCAGTTTTGCCAAAGCCTTGTCCAGTTGGTGAATCACAGTGGTATGAGACTTCAAACGGTGTCGCAACAAAAGAGGAGGCAGGTAAGGTGTGAGCAGCATGGCTCGACTCAAGGCTTTCTGGGACAAAACAATGTAGGGGAAAATCAGCAAGCAAAGACCTGAAGCAAGGTGGGGCTATGGAAAAAGAAAGTCTCTCAGTGCTCACCATCTGCAGAGTCTCCAGTTGCATCAGGCCCAGAGGATGGTTAGAGAAACACTGTCTCAAAGCCAGGATGTCATGGATTGCTGGGTGGGTACCACGCTGAATCTGGGGGGAAGTAAAGAGATGCAGATGTTAGGAGGCTCCTGCTAGCCCTCTTAACTCGTTTTAGTGCAAACTGGATCTAATGAGATTACTGGTTTGCAGGAAGCATTAATGGAGATACCTTGGCACACAGCTCCTTCATATGCCACTGGAGCCCTGCATCCGAGATGCGAGGGATGACCCTTTCTAAGTGTTTAAGGATGTCTTTGTGGGACTGCTTCCGGAGACCATGATAGATATCTAAGAAATCAATTTGTTGCTTTGGGGTCCAGAAATATTGGGTCAGTAGTTGCCTAGGAAACAGGTACCTGAAAGGAAAAAGAGTCACAGAGTCACTTGCTGAAACTGGCATCTTTCAAAGTGAACCGAGAAAGAATTGGCAGACATGAAGACCAGACACTGCCCTATCTCAGCTTTCCTTTTTATAGCTGAGTCTCAGACCAAGGCATCAAGATACCATATCAAGCAACATGACTGAGGTTATGAGAAAGGAAGAAGCAGGGCGATGGCTTAGTACAATGCAATCTGGTAAGTTTGAATTGAAGTGTGTGAAGGACACGCTTTGGACAGAGTTGCCAACAGAGCTGAATGCTGCGTGTCGTGGTGACAACCTCAAACCATTGCACGGCCCTTGAATGCATATAAAAGGGAAACAGCAAATCTGTTTTTCTATTCATTTATACCAAGTCTGATGACTGACTATAACGCATGGCCACAAATCTCTGGAACTTATCTTAAGAAGTGAGATTTGTGCTCCCCTTTAAAACTCTGGGTAAACAGCTCTCCTGCCCGCCTATGACTCGGCACCTATATCTTTTCACAAACCTGTCCCTTTCAGGGGCAGCTCTCTCTGCACACTGTGTCTGTGCAAGTGTCCTTTAATTTTCTTCTTTTTTTAAATAATAAATCTGCCTAGCTTCTGAATGGAAAGTTCTTCTCAATATAATGCTAATATATGAACAACCTACGTATCTTTGATATGATAGGATACAGAAGTTTGTACTCACATTAGCAAGAAGACCAGGTAGTTGGCAAAGGGTGGGATGGAAATAATACCTAGGAAAAGACACTTGGTGATGTCTCGTCGAAACTAAACAGAAATAAACAAAGAGAGTTATTTAACCCAGGTAAGTTCTTCACATATGGCCAATACTTCCATCCCACTGTACAGTAAATTCTATTAGAGCCCAGAAAGGATCCAAGTTATTTCTCCTGACCTCTTTTTTTTGTACGATTTTTATTTATTTATGCATACAAGAGTTGGGGTACAGGCCAGAGATGTGGTGGGGGGGGGTGAGAGGCTCCACCAGAGACAGAGTGGGGAACAGAACAGGCAGATTTACCAAAATACACTGTGGAGGGGAGCAGTAGGAGAGACAGCAGAGGTCTGCTTCGCCATGTGGGTTTCTCCCTGGCCAGCTGGGGATCGAACTCATGCTGCAGAGGCTGTGGATTGCTTCACAGTGCAGTGCTTAATCCCTTGCGCCACCAGGGAGGCCCTCTCCTGACCTCTTGATTCTAAGTTCCTTAAGGCGAGCAGCCCAGATTTATTCACTTTTGTATCCCAATGTCTAGCACAGGGCCTGACACTACCAAGTTCCTCCATGGGTTCTTGCTGATTTGCAGAATGGATCCTAAATCTTACCTCAGCTTCAAAAATACCCATCAGTCACCACCAAAAACTACTCTCCTGCTGCCTACTGGGTCTTGAGGGTGTTTATAAGTTCAGAAACAAGTTAGATTTTAATGTTGTTCAAAATGTGTGCCAGGAAGTCTATGGAGAACTCTGCAGTGGAGGACTCTGAACCCAATTCTGACAAATATTCTGAAGTTCTCATTATTTCATTGCTTTCATCTCACACAAAGGGCAACAGCTTCATGAGTGGTGAACAAGAAAGGAAAGAAAAAAACTTGAAAACTTGGTTAACTTTAATTACCTCACCGTGAACTTTTGATATCTGTCCCTGGCCCATACCTGTCTCAAATGCTCCATCTCCCGGTATGAAAGTTGATGAAACTTTATATTGTGCTTCCACATATTTGCCTTTATTCTTCTAGCTTTTTTGGCATCAGCCCATAACATCTGCAATCCTGCCTCATTAAAGTAGAGGACATAGTGTGCTGTTATCCCAGTTTGATTCTTCCTACTCCATGTTCTCTCACACAAACACACACATATCACACACACACACACACACACACACACATCCCTCCCCAGCACTAATCTTAATTGAAGTTTTAAACTATGTGTCTGGAAACTCTTGTGAGAACAACCTGTTTCTCTTTTCTCATCCCTTTCTCCCTAGCACATCACCCCTCATCAGCCAAGTTGGCCTTGTGAAGTCTACTTTACTCACTCTCTTTTTAAAATGAACAGTCAAAGCTCCCTACCCTCAGGAAGTCTTGCTCAATTAACACTGTGCATTCCTCAGCCAGATATTAACTTATTTCATTTCTAGCATTTTTATTATTATTGTAATTCTATGTATTTGTATGACTGCAGTTTTAATTTTCTTTTTATGATAATCTTTACATTCAACTAGGACTTTAGTTTTTGCAAATGCTTTCATATTTATCACTGAGATGATATAAAGTCTTTGAAGGTTTCACAGTAATACAGAAGAAGGGAAGTGTGGGACTCGCAGCCACACTATTGTAATTGTTGATGTCAGTTCAGTACAAGGAACTCCACTATACCACTCTCTAATTCTGTGTATAATTAAAATTTTCCACAACACAAGGCTTAAAGACAAACCAACCAAGGTACTTTAAAACCCTTTCTTATTTTACCCTCTTTCTAAATCTGGGAGCAAACAAAGCAGCGATTTGTATCACTACTTTAAACATAAGGATCAGTAATTCTGCAAGTCCACGTAGCTGGTAATAACTATGATGTACTTTAATGTAACTGGAATTATACTCAAAGCACAGAGTATAACAATAGTTATAACTACACTAATTGATTCATAAACCAGGCCCTAAGGACATGTATTGATTTATTGAAACTTCACAGCCTGATGGTCAATATTTAAGTTTTTATTTCTATCTCCATTTGACAGATAAGAAAACCAAGGGACATGAGTTCTTGTAACTTGTCCAGTTATAGTCAGTGACCTGTCTGGCTCCATACTGGACACACTATACCATCTCCAAGTAACCAGCAGATATGTGATATTACCCCAAACATTCAAAAACCAAGTATAGGTAGTGCTATTTCCAAACACTGCCAGGATAGATCTGTGATAAGCCTTAACCCACCTTATTTTATGGGCCAAGCCAACTGGTACCCAGCACAGCACTGTGTAGCCATAGATCCCCGCCCTTGTACCTGAGAAAGACTGTCTACCTGAGTCAGGTGTATGGTTATGAAAAGTGCAAAAATACCTCTATAATTCCTGAATGTTATTGCAAATTGTTTCTCATAACAACTCTCTCAAAACATCCCCTCCATGTGGGAACTTGTAAGAATTCTTTTAATACTCAAACATTCAAGAAACAGAACATCCAGAGTCACCACCCCATAGCAGAACCTGCAAACCTTCTAACTCTCTGACATTGCCCAAGACTGATTCAAGGGATTCCTATTTTACTTATGTTTTTACCTTTCATGAAGGTTGTGTACAGTACATAGAAGCGGGGGAAGTTGTGGCTCAAGAATTGATGGTATTTCCCATTAATCGCTTTTGTCTTGGTCGCCACATAAGAGATCAAGCTCTTCACATCTGCCTTTGGAGAAAGGTGAAGCTGTGAAGACCTACAAGGAAGATCAAAGAGACTATCTGGGAATCAGTCCTGCCAGCCTTAAAGACAAGGCTCCCTAAATACGAAACACCAGCTTCTGAGAGTAAGTGCTGAGACCTGAAGCTTCTGAGATCCTAGGAAGATCTTGGACCAAGGAGAAATAACCAACAGGACTGAGAAAAAGAGCTCAGACAAAACGGAGATCGTGCAGCAAGGGATGCCAGGCAGTGGCGGGAATCTACAGCGGGCACAAGGCAGGAGACCAGAGCGGCAGAGGTGGGATCAAGGCAACAGCAGGTAAAACCGGAGACGCGCGGGGAGGCTGACAGGTGAGCGCTGGATTCGCGGGAAATTCAATGTGGGGCACAGAGATTTGAGAGGGTCAGAAGTCAGGTCACCGGCGGGGATCCGGGTGCGACTTCCCAGCAGAACACAGATCCCGGGGCCGGGCGTGGGACCCCGCACGCCGAGACAGCGCACGCACGCGAGGCGGCGGCAGCCGCGGGCACGGCGGACTCTGGAAGGGACCGAAAGCCAAAGAGCGCTTTTCTCGCTCCGGGCCCTCACCGAGGGGCTCCCCAGGCGCGGCCGCAGCGGAGAAGTTGCAGCCTGCGGGCGACACAAGGTCCACGGGTGACGGCCGAGCCCCACAGAGCAGCCGGAGCCCAGCACACCCTGGACAGCGCCATCTTCGCCGCGAGCGAGGGGGCGCCCGCCGAGGCCGGCTTCCGGTCCAGGGGCCCAGGTCGCGCTGGGGCGCATGCGCCTTCCCCGGGCGCTGATTGGTGCTCTCCGGGCGCGCGGCGGGGGGCGGGGCTTGGGCGCGGCGGGGGGCGGGGCTTGGGCGCGGCCCGTCGCTCCAGCGCTGGAGGCGCCGGAAAGGGGCTCTTCCCGAGGGAGCGAGGACGTCCGCCGCGGGCTCGGCTGCGAGTGTGAGGACGTCCTCTCCTTGAGCGCCGGTGACCCCTCGCGGTCCCCCAGGGCTTTCGGGCTTCCTGGCGCCGCCCCTGCCCCGCGTCCTCCCCGGGCTTCGGGCACTTGCCTGTGGGCGTCGCGGCCATTGCGCGCCCGTGCGCACAGCGCCCCCTGGGGGCCGGGCGGACCCGGCGCGCCCCCTCGTGGCGGCGACCTGGGCGAGGCGCTGCCTGGGAGGGGCCCGCGCGCCCGGCGGGCTACGGGCGCCTCCTTGGCGGGCCTTCCCCAGGGGGCTTGTGGGCAGGTGCTCCCTGGCGCGTCCTGAGGCCCACGGCGGTCCTCTGCGGAGTAGCACCCGCTGAAGGAACCCCGAGTCCGCCCCACCCCTGTGCGTGTTCCTGCAGCGCTTAGCTGCGCGCGTGTGCGCTGCTCTCCTTGCTTGGCGGCGCCCGGCACTGGGCTGAGCGCCGGCACCTTCTTGCATGCTGACCCCGACTCTGGGTGCCCTGACTGCGCGTTGCTCCTGCTGCGTATGCAAGTTTAATAAATGAATTAATACCTCAAACTGGGAAGGACCCCGAGAAGTGGCACTGAGCTGCCTCCAGGAGCGACCAGGCCTCTTAAAGTTACATATGAATATTTCATCTGTGAAGGGTGTTAGGAAGGGCTACCCATTTGGAAGCAAGGATCTAGGTGAAGATTAGGATCAGCATTTTCTCTAGTGAGTGTAACCTTGAACATGTCACTTTAATATTGAGTTTATGTCCTCTTTACTCGTACATGTTTGTAAGAGTTCAGTGATGACTCAAGAAGAAAATGGTCATGAAAGCATCGACATCTGTGTAATCCTTTGTGAGTCACTGAGCTTTATATTAGCATAGATTGTTTAGGGTTGTGCCCCTCATAGTAAGAGAAGTTCTGCAAGTGGTTGGGTCTCCACAGGGTTAGGTAGACGGCATGGACAGAGAAAATTGACTAAAACATGATCTCCATCTTCAGGCAGATGCTAAGCCTATCAGCAACTACGTATCTCTCAAGAATGTTTAGCTCTAAAACTTTAGATGGTGCCTGGAAGGAAGAAGACAGGATCAACCAGAGAGATTTAGGAGCAGGGAAGGAACTATGCCTGGAGTGTGGAGCAGACAGATGGCATTCTATGAAGTCCAACAACTAGACAGGAACACAGGAATTCATGCTTTCTCAAATACTTGTTTATTTACCTCCTCCAAACCCTGTCTCCTCTGCATACACAAAGTCCTTTTGGCTCTGCCTTGTTTCTTCAGTCACCCCCCCCGTCGCTTCTCTCCTGTGCGCCACTCCCGTCATCTATGCCCAGAGCCTATGCTCTAGACTGTTGGAGTAGTCTACTTAGTTTCCTTGTCATTGTTGGCTTCCCTCCACCATGTGGAGCTCCATGCTGTAGCCACAGATGGCTTTTATTGCAAATCAAAGCTTGCCATTCCCCCTTGAAGTTTCCTCTGACTCCTGGGATAATGTCCAGACACCTTAACCTGGCCTGCAAGGCCTTGTATTACTGGCCTCAGCCTGCCTTTCCAGCCTCATCTCATGCCTCCTGGTACCTCTTTCTCCTTAGCACCTGTCTGATTTGAGAAACTTTGGCTTTTCAGTTCTACTGTTACCCCCAGCAACTTTATGGGTTTTTTGTACTTGATGTTCTCTCTACTTGGAGTTTCATGTCTTCTGTCGTGCTTGTCTTTTAGTTCTGGCTGAAATTATATTATTAGCATTTCTAGAAAAGGTTCCACATGCCACCGTTGCTCTTGTGCTTTGCATGTGTTATGGCTTTCTGTTCTGACCATAACTTCATGATGTTGATACCACTGTTAGTGTCACATAATAAATGAGGAAAATGAGGTTAAGTAACCTATTGAAGATTTGAGTCAGCCTAAGCCCAGACACAGTGGGCACATGATTTACTGCTACATGTGTATAAATCGTACTATTTACAGGAAACTTTTTTTTCCAAAAGATTTATTGATTTAAGCATACAAGAACTGGGGTACAGACCAGAGATGCTGGGGGGTGAGAGGATTCACCAGAGACAGAGTGGGGAACAGAACAGACAGACTGACAAAAATACACTTGCTATCAGTCCTAGGATCCACAACCCTGGCAAGACAGGAGAGGTCTGCTACACCATGTGGGTGTCAGCAACCTGGCCGGCCGGGGATCGAACTCACGCTACAGAGGCTGAGGGTAGCTTCACAGTGCTGTGCTTAACCTCTTGCGCCACCAGGGAGGCCCAGGTAACTTTCTTAACCCCACAGAATAAGGCTTCCTTGTTGCTCATCTATGCTTTTTATACTTGTCCTTATAGTACTTAAAATGACCATAATAAATCTGCTGTCATTGTACACTAAAGACACTCTTCCTATGGGATCCTACACTCACTGTATTTCCAGTTCCTAGCACAGTGCTTTTCACATAAGAGGTGTTCACTAAATATTTATTAATTGATAAATACTTTATATATCCGAATATGAGATCGCCTTTTGCCATGAAAACAATTCATCAGAAAGCAAATTGTCTCATATTACATGTTTTTACATAGTGTCCTACTATAGTCCATGATGTCTGATTTTTAACATGATATTTTGTCTTGAATGCAAGTACTGCTTAGGAAGGATGCACCTGTAATGACCTCACTTCATGCTAGGTCTTCAAGCTGGTAGAGGTCACTAGATGGGATCAGTTAAAAACAAAAAGAAGGCAAAAATGCTAATACAGATTTAATGGATTATTCTGGGATCAGGATTCTCAGTTTCAAGTGTTAGATATTTTTGCTCATAAGCCTTTCCACAAGTTAAATTATGGAGATAAGCAGTGTGCAAGCATAATATGAATTACAAAGGAAAAGAAAACATTCAATTAGATACTCATCAGGATGACGTGATTTGCAAACTGGACGAGGTGATGATACAGATGGCTTGAGTGATGATGAAAGCACTGATAATTTGAATGAAACTTTCAAAATTTGTGAAAAGTATTATCTCTAAATATTTTCTATATGGCCAGGCACATGGGCATGAGCACCTTCTAGTGCATAATCTGTGCCAAGCTCTTCACGCAGAAGCGTGCTCTCAGCATGCACGTGAGCACACACCGGCCTAGCACACTTTCCTGCCAGCAGCAAAGTCTTGCACTGCATACCCTTCCAGCACCACCGAATGGTGCACCCCATGCCCTGATCCAGGCCTGGGGCCTGGTCACACCCACTGTAGAACCCCTCCCACCTGCCAGCCACCAGGTATGGAGATCATCTACACGCAGCCAGATCATACTTTGCCCCGAGGGCTGGCCCACCCACTGCTTCCGTCAGACCTTTTCTCCGTAACTGACTGTGCCCAGATACCTTACTCCTCTCCTCCCTGGTACTTGATCCTCCAGGTGGGGAGACCAGGGCTGGGGCAGGGACCCACTCAGAACTGGGCATCAGCCTGAACTGACACTCAGACCTTTGCTATCAGTCCTAGGATCCACAACCCTGACCCTGTTTCTTGTCCACTCCCTCTCATGAATGGGATAGGGTCTGGGGCTGCTCATCTGTCCCAGTGTCAGGCTGGGTAAGATCTCTGGCCCTCCCTGGGACCAGGCCCCACCACAAGCTACCCCACTTTCATCTGGCACCTGAGGAGCTCAAGTAGAGATATCACAGAATGGGATATGGCTGGAGACCCAAGTTCTGTAATAAAGGACTGGGCCCCATTCCACCCTCCTGCAAAAATGATTTTCTGACAATACATATCCAGAATTTCAGAAAGGTGCAATTAAGTAATTGTTACTAAGCAGTTGCTGCTACATAACTGTGAGTCAGTCTAATATAAAAGGTAATCATTGTCTATCCAGGCACATAATTAATAGTTTACACAAACTAGTTTAATTAGCAAGTGAGACATCAGGGGTTACAGTAGCCATGAAAATACCCTTCTCAAAAAAAAATACCCTTCTCAATTTCAAACGTTATATTAAGCCACCAAAGTTTTGGCACAAATATTTTGCAAATTCAAACACTATATTATCTATTTATAGGGTCTTCCTGCAATGACCCTCCCTCTCTACCCAAGCTAACATGGATAAATGAGCATTTTCATACTCCCTTTTTTCAAATTTGAATTTACATTTTGATTTAAATACAATTTATGAGTGTTCACGCATGGCCACTATTAATACTTTGCGTTACTATTTTCAAACAATAAATAGAATACTACAGTTCTCTCAGAGTAAAAGTTAACAACCCTGGTACCTACTAGGTACTGTGAGTTTCTCATTAAACACTTCATTAATCTATTTTCAATGTTGTGCTTATATTCAGAGAACGGAATTTTTCCAGTAGCTGTTTAAAAATATCTTTTCATTGTGTAATCATCATGAAGGGTAACTTTTCTATACCACCTGTCCTCAGCTTTCCTGACCTTCATGGAACATGTTCAGTCCATCAGCTAGAATATTTACTTAGTGGAACAAAGCAGTTGGATTTTTTTTGTTTCCAAAGAGCACAGTGTTGACCAAATATGAATACTTGGTGGCACTAGATGGGCCTCATGAGAGGTACAAATGACAACATGTAAGTAATTACTTATGCAAATGGAGAAGAGTGAATATAATAGAGCGGTGGGTTAATGCCTAGAATGCAGACATAGTTTTCGATTTTCCTTCCCCAAACACCAGACTTCACCTTCCTGTCAGGGTTACCCTTGACTCCAGGAACAGCAAGAAGGAAGTCAAGAAGGAAGTCAAGAAGGAAGTCAGACACTGTCTTTATTTATTTCAGGGAAAACTTTCCCCCAGGATAGATGCATTCACTAAGTGATGAATAGAGTGTCACCTTTCTCATGGTCATAGAAAAGTTTCCTGTAGTCACTGTATAACTAACTCCTAATTTTCAGCTTGCTTTGACATAATGTAGATTATTTTCTACTGTTAACTAGAAAATAAAAAATTTAGAAGTCAGAAAATCATGTGCTAGATTTGAAAAGACATCACAAAAGATATTTTTGAACTGCCTATGCTGGTTGATTTAGAGATTAACTTCTTAGACAATTGAGATTTACTATGAAGACTATGAGAAATCTATCTGATACCTCTGCAGCATACATTTGCTACATATTGAAAATTCATTCATAATAACTAGTTTTCAGAAAGCTTCTTGTCTTTCTTGATGTAGCTTCATTTTTTGGGCACATTGCAGAATCGAGGTCTGATATAATCCTTATACATGGAATAGAGAACACCTAGAAACAAAAAGATGCATTATCAGTAAAGTGTACATGGGAAGGAAACGAAAACTGAATTTCTTCTCTGTGTATTTATCCAAAGATGGATGAAGGGATTTTATATTCATTCTCTTTGGGGAGAGAATGTGCATGTTTTTGGCGACACAGTGATGAGTGATTTTTGTCATTTTCTTTATTTGAAATTAAAAAGAGGTGTAGATGGATACCTGGTTGACAAGGGGTGGAGAGTGATGGATTCGTATTATGTCAGCGTAGTTAAGCATGCATTATTGCCTAAGAGGCATTCTGCCTAAAATTCAGAAGGATAATTGAAGCCTTAGACAATCCCTATATACTCATGGAAGGCACTGTTGGACAATTTTGCTTATTTGCTGGCCCAGCACGCCACTAACAATCTAAGCTTCTGTGCCTTTGTTTTTTCCTCTGCTTAGAATTCTGATCTCTTCCTCCACATTCTTGGCTTAGTTTACTTCCTTAGATGTAAACTTAGAGAAGCCACCCCGGATTCTGAGGCCCCAGTAAAAAGCCCCTTCTTTGGGCTCGTTGCTATGACAGCCTGTGCTCTCGGTGTCACAACATTTATGACTTTATACTGTCTTCTGTTCTTGGTCTTAACCCAAAGTGAGACTAAACATTTGTGGTTAGGGTCTGAGTCTTACTTTGTATTGCTAGACCAGCCACAGTGTCTGGCACATAGTAAGTACTCAGTAAGGTTTGCTGATGATGAAAATGTGAACTATAACTTTGTAGTAAAATCTTTTGTCATATTTTACTCAATACTTGCATATCATAACTCATGTTAATAAGATAATTTACATGTAACTCCCTAAATGCAAGTCACATACCTACCGTTCTGTAACCCTAGACCTATCTTAGGTAGATTCTACTCTGCACAGTATGAATGGGAGCTATTTACACTGAGGCATGTTCTCATTCATGCAATTTTAGATGATTTAGGTCCCAAAGTGGACTTCTTTTTAGAACTGTCTGATTTAGTTGTTGATATTACCTGAATTCACCAGATAATTTTATAACTGTGCTTTGGATTTGACTGTGTAAGTCTTGCTTAATTTATAGACTAACAAATAATAATTTTATCTGCTGTTCAAGCAGGCTGGGAACTATGACTGCAAAAGGGTAGGAACTATCGACTGCGCCTTTTACTACAGAGGATAAAGGATCCACAACTCTCATTCTTTCTGGATTTATTGTTTTCTTCAGTGCTTAAAATCCTAAGAAATTAAGCCTATGATGGGGTGGCAGTCTCAACCAAGTGAAGATTACTGTCTTTCTTACCATTCCTCCTCCGCTATTTTATCTTCACCCAATTATCAGCTTCTAATATAAATGAATGAAATAAAAATACTGTCCAGGACAGCTGAACACAAAATGTATGTTAAAGACTTTACCTAGAGTCACGGCTCCTACAACAAATCCTTGGGCAGCAACTCTCATGTGAATAAGATGAATGGACATTTTCTGATCTCTTCTGTGCTTTAACTTGTAAAGACCATAGGACACCACCGCGACAAAGCCTGCTATCCCTGTGAATTAAAAAAGAAGGGGCTATATAAACGGTAGGCTAGAAACCCCAAGAGTTAGAGTTGAGTAAAAGACTGCTTAAAGAACTGGCACTTGGAAAACAAGCAGGCAAGGTACCAAGCAATACCTTTAAAAGAAGCTGTCTGGATTTGTTTTGGCAGATTTTAAAATGAACCCTTACTCATAGATTCAAAATTTGCAATTTTCTCTTCCCAGAAAAACCTGAACCATATAGTGTAGTAACTTGTGTTACAATTTTTACATTTCCTGAGGCATGGTGTTGGTGGCACAAACTGCTAGGCTCTTATTTGAAGCAAGTCATGTAGCCAACAAGTGAACCAACCAAACACTCCAGCATCCAAAGCTTTTGAGTAGCTTCCTCCCTCCCACCCTTGTCATCAAATAAAGACAGTGATAGAAACTATATTTTTATGTAGAAATGAGATATTTAACTTTAATAAATCTATGCACAAGAAGTATGTGACTCTGGGGGAAAAAAACTGCCAAAGCTCATACAAATACTTCTGAATCTCCAATCTCTAAAATCTATGATTTATCTTTTAAGATTAACCTTCCTGAAAATGCCTCTCTAGTTGCTACTTAGCCTGAAAGCCAGACAAAACACCAGTGGTGATGACACCAGTAAGAAGGCAACAGAAAAACTTTCCAGAATTGGACCTAAACATGGGCTTCTAGTCATTATGAGTCAGGTAGAACAGAGCTTCTCAAACTTTAATGTGCATACAGATCACTTGGGGATCTTGTTAAAATCTTTCATATTTACTGATTTTCTGTGTACTTCTTTTATTTAAGAGCAGTATTGAAAAAACCAAAACCAAAACAATTATTGCTGTGACAACCAAGATCCTATGTAGTGGGTTCTAAAACAGACTAGTGGGGCCTCCCCGGTGGCGCAGCGGGTTGAGAGCCACAGTGCGAAGCTGTCTGCGGCCTCTGCAGTGCGGGTTTGATCCCGGCTGGCTGGCGAGAATCCCACATGGTGCGGCAGAACTCTCCTGTCGTGCCCACTGCTCCCCTCAGCAGTGTATTTCTGTCATCTGCCTGTTCCGCTCCCTACTCTGTTTCTGGTGAATCCTCTCACCCTCCCGTGCCTCTGGCCTATACCCCAGCTCTTGTATAAAAATAAATAAATCTTTAAAATAAATAAATAAATAGACGAGTGATCAACCAAATAGGAAAGAGCTAGAAAGATTTTAAATCTGTGAGAAACAATCCATGCTAAATCTAAAGTAACTGCATAACAAATAAAGCAGTATTTAATAAATATCTTTAGTATATAATTCATGGGTATAGAGAATGTTGGATTTGTATTTCATACCAGAGTTCAAAATATTTTTGAATACGTGAGAACGTAATATAAAAACTAGAAGAGAGTGGAATAGCATGTTTATAACATCTAAGACAAAATAAGGTAAACTTTGAAAATGACAAGAATAAAATGCTTTATTTTGACATAAGACTAAAGAACACTTTTGCACAATACAAGTGTGGGTCTGTTTGTTGGGTTATCTCTTCTTCCAGATGAGGGAGATATGCATGTACTCTTCTATCAGTACCACACTTAATTTCTCAAGCTAGACAAAAAGTCTGGAATATCACGTAGGGTAATTTCTCCTACTTTACCCTTTTTTAAAAAAGACTTCTTCAAGTGTTCTAGACTTGTGCATCTTTCCATATAAATTTTAGAATGTTACCTATGTCTATATAAAAAGTTGCTGAGATTTTTGACAGGTGTAACATGAAATCTATAAAACAACATGGGGGAAATTGACATCTTTGTCAAAATTGATTCTTCCAATCCATTCTTTCCTTAGCTTTTTTTTTCTTTTTTTTAAAGATTTATTTATTTATTTATACAAGCACTGGGTACAGTCAGAAGCATGGGAGGGTGAGAGAATTCACCAGAGCCAGAGCAGGGAGCAGAACAGGCAGACTGACGAAGTACACTGCTGAGGGGAGCAGTGGGCGCAGCAGGAGAGGTCTGCGCGCCCTGTGGGACCCTCGCTGGTGGCCGGGGATGGAACCGGCGCTGCAGAGGCTGCCGGCAGCTTCGCAGCCCAGTGCTCAACCGCTGCGCTATTGGGGAGGCCCGATAACACCATTTTAAACAATATAAATAATGATGGAAGGTATTCAAGAAAACAAAAATGTTTTATAAATTATCTGCATAGGACACTTCATCCTACAGCAAAAATACATATTAGATATAGGTAAAGTAACAAAAACTAAAACTATTCAATAATAGAATCCAAATTTTAGTATTATATCTTTTTCTAGCAAAAAGTTGGTTCTCTTCCTTTGATCAAAAAAAACAAAGCTCTGTTTTCAATTAAATGGTTTTGTTTCTTTTAATGATTAACATCAGAACTTTTGCTGTTTTCCATATAATGTTTCTGTGGTTGGTATATAATTGAATTTAGTTGGAAGTACTTTTATCTTTTTACTTTAATCACCTTAAACTGTCTCTGGAAAAATAATTTAATTTAAAATAGACACAGTGATTATCTTTGTTCATTACACTAATCTATTCAAGTAGTAATGAGCTCTTCAATTGTTTTTTTCTAGTTAAAAATACTAAAAAGGATGAATAAGTTACTACAAAATTATGTTTTAATGTATACTGGTTGCAATTACAAATCTTTAACAAATTAAGTGAATGTTACTGTTAGTTAAAATATTCTTTCTTGATATTTGAATAATGACACTTATAAAATTGCTAGATCTGCATTAACATTTAATGGAAACACATGATATACACCTATTTAAAAGTTTCATGGAATTAATACATTCACAAACTTACATTAAGTCTGATTTAAATGTTATTTTAATAGTTTCAGGACAAAATTAACACAAGGAAAGACACATGGCTGCTGTAGACAACAGCACAATTTCTTAGGGCAGTTTAAACTTCCAAGAGGAAAGAAAGCTAAGCACACTTTAAAACATAGTAGTGCTTAGTTTTTGTCAGTTGGCGTTCACATCAATATAGTATTTGTGGAAATTGTAAACATACTAAGTCTGTTTTGGGAAAAGCTAGAGAGGCTAAGACGCCAGGTCTAATTATAATACCACTCTTTAAACTGGACTGGACTTCACCATCAACCACAGCAGATGGAACAAGGCGTCAGCAAAAGGGCCCTGAGCACCAACCCTCAAAGCTCAAGCTCTCAGTGTACCGGTGGGCCCAGGCTTTCGATCAGCTTCTTTACTCAGAATTGACTCACAGTCATTTCAAGCTGGGGCAGCTAGCATCTGATGCCACAGAACATTAGAAGCAGACGTTTCTGAAGGCACCCGACAGTAATGGAAGAAACAGAAAACTCAATAAACATCAGACACAAGAATTTAAAGGCTTGAGACAAAAAGGCTCACATCTCAACAGTCCCTAAGTGACTTTCAGTACAGCAGCCTGATTCTGCTGCTGAGGGTCCTTCACCATCATGGGAAAGTTAAAGTCCACTCAATCAATTCTATTTTATTTATTTATTATTTTTTTGCATAGAAGAACTGGGTTGCAGGCCAGAGGTGTGGGGGGTGAGAGGATTCACCAGAGACACAGTGGGGAGCAAAACAGGTGGATCTACTGAAATATGCTGGTAAGGTGGGCAGCAGGCAAGACAGGAGAAGTCTGTGCCATATTTGGGTTAGCTCCCTGGCTGGGGATCAAACTCAAGCTGTAGAGGTAATAGCACTAAGACTTAACCCCTAGGCCACCAGGGAGGCCCCAATCAATTAATTCTATTTAGATTGGCTAAGCACTGGTAGCTTTAGATAGATCTCTAGTGAAAATAGGTTAAATAAGATAAGAATTGATGCTTCATAATAAAAATGGCCAACATTATTTTTTTTTTTTTTTTTGTGGGACCCTCGCTGGTGGCCGGGGAATCGAACTGGCGCTACAGAGGCTGCAGGCAGCCTCGTAACCCAGCGCTTAACCGCTGCGCCACCAGGGGAGGCCCAAAAATGGCCAACATTCTTGAGGAGTTTACTAAATACTGGAAATTGTGCTGAAAGTTTATAAACTTATATTTGTGCTCATTAGGGGTTAGCTTTCATTATCTCAAAAGATTGAATTATATAAGACAGTTCAAGCCTCAAAGATATTGGATAAGGTATTTTTGTGATATTACAGTTTTCCAGTATGTAGTCAAGGCTTATACTTACCTACAGGGACAAAGGGGGAGTCTCTAGATTTCCTGATCAGTCGGGACAACTGGCCTTCATCTTCCTCTGCTGACCACTGGTTATCTGAAGACATTGTTCTCTCTAGCAACAGTAAGGGATAAACATGGTTGCTGTGAACCATTAAGAAGACTCTATTGACCCTCTCCCAATGTACTCCCAATGTACTCCTGATTATGTTTTCTTCTGCCTTCATTTGCTTGACATGCCTGCCTGCTCAGCTGAAATGAACACTCATCTTCCCTTCACACTTTTCATGATGGAATCTTTTCATTTTGTTGGGAAGATGGAGCAAAAGAAAAGTGATAATTCCATGAAAACAGTAAACACACAGATCACAATCGTGTCCTTCAGTCTCCTTGAATGGCTCAGCACTTGACATCATCTCAAACGTCAGTACTTCTGCCACAAAGGCGAAGAACACAGTTTCTTTCCCAAAATTGCATTTAAAACAACGATGGCAGTGCCAACACAGGGAAAAATCCCTCCAGATTTACAGGTGAAGGGAAAAGGATCACTCCAACTTTGCAAAATGTGCAGGTCGGTACGAGACGCTGAGATTATTTACCAAACACCCCCATAGAAGCCAGGGGCTGTGCTAGACAATGGAAACAGTCCTTGTCTACCCAGGATGATGAGGAAATTCACGTGAGAAACTACAATCACAATACGGTCTGATATCCAAGCAGCCTATTTCAACCCAACATTTCAAATATGATGACTTCATCCAAGAATGAGCATCAGAAAATGTAAAGTGGTACGGGACAAAGCACAGTACCTTTACTCACCCCACTCCTGCTGTCTGTCTCCTGATGTTCCTTGAGAACAAAGCCCGGATCAGAACAGACACTGGAAGGTCAGACACATTTATGTGCTATTTTCAACTAATTGACAATGGGAAAGCTCAGAAACACCCCGCCCCCCCCAACCCCCCAAGGAGTGGCCTGCTGGCATTGGCCAGGGTTTCCACAATCATTGCTAGACACTTAGTAGAACCAGCACCTGGCATAAACTTAAGGCTTTCCACAACATTAAGGAAACACTGAAGCCTTTTGAAGATCTTTCCTTAGTTCTGCCTTCATAGGGAAAATCCTAACTTTCCTCTCAGGCTATTGAGTCCTCCTACCTGATTCCAGGTTCAAAATTGAGAGGGAAGTCGGCACAGGGCTGTAACACTGGATCTGAGTGGTTGGGGAGGTAGCCATCGGAGGCTCAGATTATAGTCCCTTTAGGAATATGAGCTTTCCACAGTGTTGCGGCCAGATCCTGGGTTGAGGTGCTGAAAGTCAGCCCCGTGATAATAAAAATGGCTAACATTCATGAGGTATTTACTAAATCGTTAAGTGCAAACTAGCAGGGGAAGGTGCCAATCTCCAACTTTGCCATAGCCATGTCCAGTTGGTGAAACACAGCAGTGTGTTTCAAGAGAGGAGGCAGGTATGGTGTGAGCAGCATGGCTGAACTCAAGGCTTTTGGGACACAATATAGGGAAAAATCAGCAAGCAAAGACCTGAGGCAAGGTGGGGCTGTGGAAAAAGGAAGTCTCTAAGTGCTCACCATCTGCAAAGTCTCCACTTGCATCATGCTCAGCGGATGGTTAGAGGAAACACCAGTAGTTGCCTAGGACACAGATACCTGAAAGGAAAAAGAATCACAGAGTCAATTGCTGAAACTGGCATCTTTCAAAGTGAACAGAGAAAGCATTGGCAGACATTTGGAAGACTAGACATATCCCAACCTCAGTTTTCCTTTTTATAACTAAGTCTCTGGACAAGGCTTCAAGATACCATATCAAGCAACATGACTGAGGTTATCAGAAAGGAAGAAGCAGGGTGATGGCTTAATACAATGCAATCTGATAAGTTTGAAAAAAGTGTGTGAAAGACACATTTTGGACAGAGTGCCAACAGAGCTGACCTCTGTGTCATGGTGGCGACCTCAAACTATTGCACAGCCCTCGTGTGCATATAAAAAGGAAACGGCAAATCTGTTTACCAGTTCACTTAATGCCAAGTCTGATGATTGAATGTAAAAAATGGCCACAAATTTCTGGGACTTGTCTTAGGGAGAAGTGAGATCTATATTCCCTTTTAAAACTCTGGGTGAGCTGCTCTCCTGCCCGCCTGTGACTGGGCAGGTGTATCTTGTCATAAACCTGCCCCTTTCAGGGGTAGCTTTCTGCACACTTGAGTCTGTGCAAGTGTCCTTTAATTTCCTTTCCCTTCTTATAATAAACCTGAGAAAAAGAGGACAGACAAAAGGGCGATCAGATAGGAAGGGATGCCAGGCAGTGGCGGGAATCTACAGCGGGCACAAGGCAGGAGACCAGAGCGGCAGAGGTGGGATCAAGACAACAGCAGGTAAAACCGGAGACGCGCGGGGAGGCTGACAGGTGAGCGCTGGATTCGCGGGAAATTCAATGTGGGGCACAGAGATTTGAGAGGGTCAGAAGTCAGGTCACCGGCGGGGATCCGGGTGCGACTTCCCAGCAGAACACAGATCCCCGGGCCGGGCGTGGGACCCCGCACGCCGAGACAGCGCACGCACGCGAGGAGGCGGCAGCCGCGGGCACGGCGGACTCTGGAAGGGACCGAAAGCCAAAGAGCGCTTTTCTCGCTCCGGGCCCTCACCGAGGGGCTCCCCAGGCGCGGCCGCAGCGGAGAAGTTGCAGCCTGCGGGCGACACAAGGTCCACGGGTGACGGCCGAGCCCCACAGAGCAGCCGGAGCCCAGCACACCCTGGACAGCGCCATCTTCGCCGCGAGCGAGTGGGCGCCCGCCGAGGCCGGCTTCCGGTCCAGGGGCCCAGGTCGCGCTGGGGCGCATGCGCCTTCCCCGGGCGCTGATTGGTGCTCTCCGGGCGCGCGGCGGGGGGCGGGGCTTGGGCGCGGCGGGGGGCGGGGCTTGGGCGCGGCCCGTCGCTCCAGCGCTGGAGGCGCCGGAAAGGGGCTCTTCCCGAGGGAGCGAGGACGTCCGCCGCGGGCTCGGCTGCGAGTGTGAGGACATCCTCTCCTTGAGCGCCGGTGACCCTCGCGGTCCCCCAGGGCTTTCGGGCTTCCTGGCGCCGCCCCTGCCCCGCGTCCTCCCCGGGCTTCGGGCACTTGCCTGTGGGCGTCGCGGCCATTGCGCGCCCGTGCGCACAGCGCCCCCTGGGGGCCGGGCGGACCCGGCGCGCCCCCTCGTGGCGGCGACCTGGGCGAGGCGCTGCCTGGGAGGGGCCCGCGCGCCCGGCGGGCTACGGGCGCCTCCTTGGCGGGCCTTCCCCAGGGGGCTTGTGGGGAGGTGCTCCCTGGCGCGTCCTGAGGCCCACGGCGGTCCTCTGCGGAGTAGCACCCGCTGAAGGAACCCCGAGTCCGCCCCACCCCTGTGCGTGTTCCTGCAGCGCTTAGCTGCGCGCGTGTGCGCTGCTCTCCTTGCTTGGCGGCGCCCGGCACTGGGCTGAGCGCCGGCACCTTCTTGCATGCTGACCCCGACTCTGGGTGCCCTGACTGCGCGTTGCTCCTGCTGCGTATGCAAGTTTAATAAATGAATTAATACCTCAAACTGGGAAGGACCCCCCAGAAGTGGCACTGAGCTGCCTCCAGGAGCGACCAGGCCTCTCAAGTTCTTTCAACTTAGAGAACTGTGCCTGGAGTGTGGAGCAGACAGATGGCATTCTATGAAGCCCAACAACTAGACAGGAACACAGGAATTCATGCTTTCTCAAATACTTGTTTATTTGCCTCCTCCAAACCCTGTCTCCTCTGCATACACAAAGTCCTTTTGGCTCTGCCTTGTTTCTTCAGTCACCCCCCCTCGCTTCTCTCCTGTGCGCCACTCCCCTCATCTATGCCCAGAGCCTATGCTCTAGACTGTTGGAGTAGTCTACTTAGTTTCCTTGTCATTGTTGGCTTCCCTCCACCATGTGGAGCTCCATGCTGTAGCCACAGATGGCTTTTATTGCAAATCAAAGCTTGCCATTCCCCCTTGAAGTTTCCTCTGACTCCTGGGATAATGTCCAGACACCTTAACCTGGCCTGCAAGGCCTTGTATTACTGGCCTCAGCCTGCCTTTCCAGCCTCATCTCATGCCTCCTGGTACCTCTTTCTCCTTAGCTCCTGTCTGATTTGAGAAACTTTGGCTTTTCAGTTCTACTGTTACCCCCAGCAACTTTATGGGTTTTTGTACATGCTGCTGTCTCTACTTGGAGTTTCGTCCCTTCTGCCGTGCTTGTCTTTTGGTCGGGGCTGAAATTATATTAATAACTAACATTTCTAGGGCCTCCCCGGTGGTGGAGCGGTGGTTGAGTGCTGGGTTGCGAAGCTGCCTGCGGCCTCTGCGGCTCTGGTTCGATCCCCGGCTGCTCCCTGGCCACTAGAGGAGGGTCCCACATGGTGCGCAGACCTCTCCTGCTGCCTGCTGCTCCCCTCAGCAGTGTACTTCTGTCCTTCTGCCTGTTCTGCTCCCCGCTCTGGCTCTGGTGAATTCTCTCACCCTCCCTTGCTTTTGACTGTGCCCAGTGCATGTATAAACAAAACAAAACAAACAAATGAATAAAAAAAAAAAAGCATGCCTCTATAAAAAAAAAAAATTAAAAAAAAAAATAACATTTCTAGAAAAGGTTCCACATGCCGTCATTGTTCTTGTGCTTTGCATGTATTATGGCTTTCCATTCTGACCATAACTTAATGATGTAGATACTCTTGATAGTGTCATGTAATAAATGAGGAAAATGAGGTTAAGTAACCTATTGAAGATTTGAGTCAGCATTTAAAACCAGACACAATGGGCACATGATTTATTGCTACACTGTGTGTAAATCATACTATTTACAGGAAACTCTTAACCCCACAGATTAAGGCTTCCCTGTTGCTCATCTGTACTTACTATACTTTTCCTTATAGTACTTAAAATGACCATAATTAATTTCCTGTCATTGTACACTAAAGACACTCTTCCCGTGGGATCCTACACTCACTGTATTTCCAGTTCTTAGCACAGTGCCTGTCACACAAGAGGTGTTCACTAAATATTTTTTATTTAGTGAAGTTGACACTTTGCAAATAGTACACACAGAGGAAAAAAGAGGATTTGGAAAAGAAAGAGCATCCTATCAGTGAACTGTGGTCAACTTCAAGTCAAATAAGCAGTTAGAATATCTGAAGAGTGAAGGAGGCAGTATCAGAAAAAATTGAAGATATAATGAGCGAAATTTTCCCAAATTGTTGACGTTTGATAAAAATTATAGAACTTCAGATCCAAAATGCTCAATGAACCCATAATATGTGCAACACAAATAAAACTACACCAAGGAACATAATAATCATATTAAAGTCAATGATAAAAAGACAATTATAAAAGTAGCTAGAGAGAGCCTCCCTGGTGGCACAGGGGTTAAAGTCTCAGCACTATGAAGCTATAGGCAGCCACTGCAGCTTGAGTTCAATCCCTCGCCAGGTATGTGACCCACGTGGTACAGCAAACCTCTCCTATCTCACCCACTACTCTCCTCGGCAGTATGTTTCAGTAGATCTGCCTGTTCTGCTCCCCACTTTCTGGTGAATCCTCTCACCCCCCCACACCTCTGGTCTGCACCCCAGTTCTTGTAGGCACAAATGAATAGAATAAATCTTTAAAAGTAGCTAGAGAAAAGACATCTGACATACAGAGAAACAAAGTCAGGAATGATTGCAATATTCTTATTGCAATCATAAATATTTATTAATTGAGAAATACTTTATATATCTGAGTATGAGGGCACCTTTTTCTGTGAAAACAATTCATCAAAAAAAAAAAAAAGCCAGAAACAGGACTTCACCCACAACATAGTAGAGTTGGGAGATTTGATAAATGTCTTCCCTAAACATAAATACAGAAAAATTAAATTTTGCTCTCAGGAAGTCTCATCAGTTTGCCACTAGTGATGGAAAACACTGAGGTTGGGGACTGGAGGAGGGAGAGTAAGGAAGCTGCAGCCCTGGGGGTGAGCAAGCTGGGGAGTATGTACAGACTATGTGGATACATGTACTGGGGTGGGCGGTTAATTTTTCCCTGACTGGGGGAGTGCAGAACTACTGGGACACAGTGCTGGGACTGTTGGTTCAGTTGCAGAGAATCTGATTGTGAATAATGTGGGAGGAAATGTCTGAGAGAATGACCTGCTGTGCGCTGTGAGCCCATCCCACCCCCTACAGAGAGGACCAGCAAGGAGGCCAGACATTTGAGTTCTATGATGCAGTGAACAATGGTTTGTTTTTTTAAGATTTGTTTGTTTATGCATACAAGAACTGGAGTATAGGCCAGAGGTATGGGCGTGAGAGGATTCACCAGAGACAGTGTGGAGCAGAACAGGCAGGCTGTTCTGAAATACACTGCTGACTGAAATACACTGCTGAGGGGAACAGCGGGTGAGAGGTCTGCTGTACCATTGTGGGTCATCTCCCTGGCGGGGATCGAACTCATACTGCAGTGGCTGGCAATAGCTTGACAGCGCTGTATCTTTAATCCCTATACCACCCAGGAGGCCCCATCGTGATCAATGTTTTGCTTAGCAGAGCAAGGGTTGAAGAGACAGTATAAATCTACCTGCAATAACCCTCAGGCCTGGTGGCACAAGGGGTTAAGTCTCAGTACTATGAAGTTATTTGGATCCTGGCCAGGGAGCTGACCCACATGGTGCAACAGACCTGTTTTCTTGCCCACTGCTCCCCTCAGTGGTATATTTCAGTAGATTCACCTGTTCTGTTCCCTACTCTGTCTCTGGTGAATCCTCTCACCTCTCCACACCTCTGTCCTACACCCCCAATTCTTGTACTCATAAACAATAAATAAATCTTAAAAAAAAAAAACCCTCCCTCCCCAAATGTGTGAATAACCTAAGTAGAAGAAGAGAGAGAAATAAAATCTAGAAAAAAAAAGAAATTCTATGAGAAATATAGGACTCTATTGGAAGAGGAAACATAAGGGTAGTGAATATTCCAGAAGAAAAATGATGAATACAAAGAAATAATAGCTGAAATTTCTCAAACCCAAGGGAAGACTGGAACTTGGATGTCAAAGAAGTTGAAAGAATACCAAAATTGCTAAATGTAAAGCAGCTTTCACCAAGATACATCACTGTTGATTATCAAAAGTCAATGATTTAAAAAATATTAAAGGCTATGAAAGAATGTAACAAACACACCTATACCAAATTTATCAGCAGATACAGACAAGGCTAGAAGAGAGTGGAATGACATATTTATAATTCTGAAAGATAGAAATTATACTCAGGAATATCTACATTGCAAAATTATCTTTTAAATATGATGAAGAAATAAAGGCTTTCCCTGAAAAACAAAAGTTAATGGCATTTACCACCACCAAACCTGCCCTACAAGAAATGTTGCAAAGAGTTCTTGTACATGAGAAGAAAGAAATATGACCACAAAACCTTAAGCAAGGTGATAAATAGTAACATGGAAGCAGAAAAGTAAACAAGAATAATAAGACAACTGTAAAATATTAGAGAGTAAGAAAAGGGCAGAATTTGCATAGTCAAATGATAATGAATCAAGACAGCACAAAAAGGTCTATTTTAGATATAGAAAGTATGATACAACCCTCATGGTAACCACAAAACAAAAACCTAGAATAGAGAACTTAGAAGAAGAAATGAAGACACTTAGAGAACCACCCTGGAAAGCAATCAAAATGAGATGGAAGATAGAACCATATGGAAGAGATCAACAGAATGATAAAACCACCAAACACCAAAGGAAGGATGGCAGTAAA